TTCACTGGCAATTCTGTAGAATTATTTTTTTTTTAAAAAGTGTAATTGAATTTTTGTTAGAATTATTTCAAATTTTTATTTTATAAATATTTAATTGAAGAATTTCCGAATAATCGAAAGTTTGTAAAATTGGATTTTAAGCAAATGGATTTAAAAATTCTCAATGAACTTTTGTAAAAAGTTTTAAAAATAATTGATAATTGAATTCTTTCGAGGAATTTTAATAATATTTTTGAAAATAATTACATTTTTCGAGGAATTTATTTAAAATTGTATTAAAAATAATTAAAATCATGTGAAGAGTTTTATTATTTAGGAGAATAATTGAACTCTTGCAAAGAATTTTTATTACATTTTTTTTAAATAAATGAAATTGAAATCATTTGAAGAATTTTATTATTTATGAAAATAATTGAATTCTTGCAACGAATTTTATTACATTTTTGTTTAATTAATTGAATTCTTTTGAGAAATTTTAATAATATAGTAGATTTTGAAAATATTTGTATTTCAGCGAAGAATTTCATTATTTGTGAAATGCAATTGAATTCTTGCAAAAAATTTTTGAAAATAATGACATTTTTCGAGGAATTTTATTAAATTGTATTAAAAATAATTGATATCCTATGAAAAATTTTATTATTTATGAAAATAATTGAATTTTTACAACGAATTTTATTACATTTTTTTAAATAATTGAATTAATTTGAAAAATTTTATGGAAATGTAATAGAACAGTTTTTTGAGTATCTAATTATTTTTAGAGAGAATCAGAATATTCTCTAGAGTCAAGGGAAGATAAAAAATTTTGTCTGGAAATCAGGGAAAAACAAAATTAATTTTTTGTGGTAACCCTGGTTTAATTTAAAATCAGTTTTTATCGAATATTTTGAATCTAATGAAGACTTAAGTCTTCGGAGCGCGTCACGTATAATTTTCTTCAATTTCTTGACAATCTTGACCTAGAGAACTGAAATCTTTCACTGCTGTATTTTTACCAGTTACTAGCAGGAAATTTGTTTGTTATTAAGATTATAACAGTGTGAAATTTTTACATTCTCATAAAAAATGAGAAGGTCTTGTATTTTTGAAAGTGGAATTAAAAATATTTTCCAATTATGAAAATAAGAATAATATAAAAGAAGTTAAATTAGAAACATCAGTGATATGCGCTCAAAGCTGAATGTTATTCGCATATAATGGATTTCATGGGAATTCTGAACCCCATATAGTAGTGCGTTAAATCAGAAGATGTCGAAACCTGTTAAGTGCAAGTTCGAGTGCCGTATCTAGATGCTGTGTGTGGAGCCATAATATCGGCTTTTATACCTCAAACTGGTTGGTCACAGCCATTGAACCTTCGGGGTAGATTTTTAAAAAATAACAACCAGACACGAGAATTTCCAAATTGATCCAGGGCAGATATTGAAAATTCTTTCCCACATGTCGCGACACTATTTCTTTCAATTCGAATTTCATTTTTCAATTCTTTTTCACAATTACCTTTCTTCAGACTTTTTTGCTAGTAAGAAAAAGATAAAAGTAAAATAAAATTTTCCGAGAGAAAAAAGAAAGATTTACAGATTCTCTAAGGTTAAAATTGAATCACGAGAAAAGCAGCTCTGGCATTCGACGCGAGAATAATGCCTATTTATCGCAGAAGCTGGGTGCCGATTGAAAGAAGATATGAACCAATTAATGTGCAAGACTCGCTATAAATGGAATTTACTTGATCTACGGAATTATAGAATAGCTGAGATCAGTCAATGCCTCCAGCAAGCCTTAAGTGACAGATCCATGTATCAGATCTTAAATAAGAATTACGCACAAGTAATTGCAGAAAATTCAATTTTTTCAAAACTAATAAAATTCTCCGCAGAAATTCAATTACGTTCAAAAATTAAAAAAAAAATTCTCGTCAAAATTTCAATTATCTCTATAAGTAATAATTCTGTAGAACTAATGTTTTGAAGAATTCTAATTTCAATTCTATTGAAATTAGTTGAATTTTTTAATATTTATATTAGATATTTAATTTTGATTCAAAATTTTTTAAGAAATTCTTCAAATGAATTCAATTATCTTGATAAATATCAAAATAATAATTCAATTATTTTTAGTAATTTTAATAAAATTCTTTGCAAAATTTAATTATTTTCATAAATAACAATATTCATCAAAATAATTCAAATATTTTTCAAAATAATAAAATTCTTCGCAAAAATTCAAATGTTCAAAAATTTCCAAAAATTCTCGTCAAAATTTCAAGTATCTTTATAAATAATAAAATACTTCTCCAAAATTATATTTTTTTCAAAAATTTCACTAAAATTCTTGAAAAAATTTGAATTATTTTCAAAAATTCTCTTCAATTCAATGATTTTTAATATCTTCTATTTTCAATATATACTTAATAAAAATTTTTAAAAGAACTCAATTATTTAATAAAAATTTTTTTTAAATTCTACGCAAAAATTTATTTTTATAAATAATCAAAATTTCACAAGAATTCAATTATTTTTATTAAATTCCTCGAAAGAATTTAATTTTCAACAATTTCACCAATATTCTTTATAAAAAATCAATTATTTTTATAATTAATAAATTTCTGCTCAGAAATTTACTTATATTAAAAAGTTTTAAAAAAATTCTTCACAGCAATTCAGTTATTTTAAAAAATAATGAAATTCTTAACAAAAATTCAATTAATTCTTAAGAATTTTAATAAAATTTTTCACAATAATCCAATTATTTTTATAAATAATAAAATTCTTCTCAAAAATTCAATTATTTTCAAGAATTTAAATAAAATTTTTCACAATAATTCAATTATTTTCAATAATAAAATTCATTACAAAAATTCAATTATTTTTGTAAGTAATAAAATTTTGCTCTGAAATTCAATTATTTTTAAAAGTTTTAATAAAATTCTTCACAGGAATTCAATTATTTTTAAAAATAATGAAATTCTTAGCATACATTCAATTATTTTCAATAATTTTAATAAAATTTTGCACAAAAATTCAATTATTTTTATAAATAATAAAATTCTCAGTAAAAATTCAATTATTTTTTAAGAATTTTAATAAAATTTTTAACAATAATTCAATTATTTTCAATAATAGAATTCTTTTCAAAAATTCAATTATTTTCAAGAATTTTAATAAAATTCTTCACAATAATTCAATTATTTTCAAAAATTCGATTATTTTTAATAATTTTAATAAAATTCTTCACAATAATTCAATTATTTTCAATAATAAAATTATTTTCAAAAATTCGATTATTTTTAAGAATTTTAATAAAATTCTTCACAACAATTCAATTATTTTAATAAATAACAAAATTCTTTACAAAAATTTAATTATTTTATTAATTTCTTAGCAAAAGTTAAATTATTTTCAAAAACGATTATAAAATTTCAATTACTTTCAAAAATTTTCCTGAATTCAATGATTTACAATATTTACTATTTTAATAAAATTTTCAAAAAGAATTTAATTATTTAAAAAAAAGTTAAATAAAATTCTATACCCAAATATTTAATTATTTTCACAAATAATAAAATTTCACAGGAATTTAATTATTTTTATTAAATTTCTCGAAAGAATTGAATTTTCAACAATTTCAACAAAATTCTTTACAAAAATTCAATTCTTTTCAGAAATAATATAATCGTTTGCAAAAATTCAATTACTTTTATAAATATTAAAATTGTTTTTAAAGAATTCAATTATTTTCATAAATAATAGAAAAACTCATCGCAGAATTTTAATGCAATTTTAATCGAATTCCTCGAAAATTGTAATTATTCTTTAAAATTATATTAAAATTCGTCCAAAGAATACAATTATTTAAAAATTTGTTAATACAAAATCTTAATTCCTTTGAAAAAATTGAATTTCTGTGGCAATGAGAAAATTCGCGTTTTAGTCCAAATGACGGTAATTAATCACAGTTTAAAATTAAAAAAAAAATAATCATTGATTTATTATCAGAAGAGAAGAATTGCTTTATAAAGATGGAACGATTGGTATTTTAAAGAAAAACGGACATGGTTTGACGGTCACAGAAATCCCCAGGGCGTGAAATGTAATAAGCGTTCTATCGCGATTTCGCTTAGCTGTGAAGTGCCGAACCATACAAACTGAGCACTTGACCGACGTTTTGCATAATGATCGCGTAACGCCTAAGCAAATTCGTATAAATAAATTAATTTACAACAGTTTTCATGACGCAATCGTCTATTTATAAAGACACAAACGATGAAAGGGAATAAATTGAATAGTAAATGAACCCAAATAGAAATATGTTGATATTATCGTTATCAAACTGCATAGCAACGTACGCGCGAGATTTATGTCTCTTTAAAGTTGTAATTTTATATTTGAAAAAAAGACATCTTTTATTATGTAATTCTCATTGCTAGTGTATAAATTTATAAATTTTATATGAAGAAGTATAAATACCCATCTTTCTCGCAGAAAATATACTTTTTGATTTTGAATTATATGGACCGCGCTGTAATAACTCGATAATGAATTTGGACTATTAAAGTCGCTGGATTAGGTAACATTGAACACCGCAGGCCTTCTATAGGAATTTATAGAAGCTTCCCGCTGAGATCTGAACGCTATGGTCACGATACGTTCACTTGGTGTAGAACCTAGTCCGGTCATCTCTTTTCCTTATGTATTCATCAATCTCATCTCTCCTCTTCTTACTCGCTATTCTCACTTACTCATCCAACAGAGTGAACAGAACGCCCCCCAGACATCGCCAATGATTCTTTATGTAATTCGCCAAGAATTTCTATTAAATACAACTTGTAGAGTCGGTATTAAATACATATTTTCTCATGAAACAGTCAATAAAATTTTGAATAAATTAATTGACATGTTTTTAAATTCATTATTTCAAAAACTGTTTTAAAAACTTTATTGGCTATGATTTGGTATAATAAAAAAATTCATGTTTTTTCTTTTTTTCTGTTTCTCTAGGTTCGCCTCCTTTGACTGGCACAGGAATTGTTAGAATCGTCGTTCTTGATGTTAATGATCACAGTCCGGAATTCACTCGACAGGAATATAAAGCTTCCGTCACTGAGAATTCGCCGATTGGTACCTGGGTCGCGAATCCTGTCGCCACCGATAAGGACGAAGGACTCAATGCTAAAATAAGGTAATCAAAAGATCATTGAAAAATTAAAACGAAAAAAATACCTTAGTTTTGACAGTTTTAAAGTTTGATATTTTGATATTATTTTTTTGATTTCTAGGTACAGTTTGTTAGGAGACAAGGCAGAAAAATTTTCAGTGAATCCCGGCACAGGAGAGATAGTAACAGTGGAACCTCTCGACAGAGAACAGACAGCCGTTTACCACTTGACGTTGGTGGCTCAGGACTCCAGTCCAACGGAGCCAAGTGCATCTGCTGTCAATCTGACAATTTCTGTTACGGACTTGAACGATAATGCTCCTCGATTTTCTAGCCCGAGATACACTGCCTATGTACCGGAAGGCACCAAGCATGGTAAGAAATTATCCTACCAACTAATTGGTAATAATTCTTATTTATTTACTTACATTTTACTTCGATTCAATCGGAAAATTATTTCCTTTTTATTTCAAATTCATTTTTATTTATCAATAAGAAAAAAGTGTTCACAGAAACAAGTTGGTATTTACTTATTTATTTACTCATTTATTTTAGGAGACTTTGTCTTTGGATCGAAAGCAATTGACGACGACGATGGTGAAAATTCTAGAATTGTTTATCGCCTTCAGGGTGAAGATGCAAAACGTTTTATAATCGATCCAAATAATGGAGTTATTAGAGCATCGCAAGAATTATCGAGAAGCGAAGGGACATACCAGCTGCAAATTCAGGCTTCCGATTGTGGCGTTGAACCACAAACGGTTACAGCGGACTTGATGATTCACTTGTGGGACAAAAAGCTGTTTCCCAGTTTTCGACCTTCAATTAACACGAGATTCACTTTGCCAGAAGATGTCCCCGAGGGTAGAATCATCACAACACTCAGCGCGACAACTCCAACTTCCGGTGCTGGGAGCAATTTAATTTTCGGAATGGCTGGAGGAAATGTTGGTGACGCTCTTAAAATTGAGCCTCACACTGGAGAAGTGAGTCTTTTTTGTTGAAACCATGATAAAAATTATTTTTCTCCAAATTAACGAATTTGAAGAATTATTTCTAAGAATTTAATGTGAAGAATTATTTCTAAAAATTGCATAATTGAAGAATTATGTCTAAACATTGAATTTGTTATATTTAGGTTCTGGTTGCTTCTGGTTTTGATTACGAAACTGCTCCATATTATGAGGCTTGGGTTGAAGTTCGCGATTCTGGAAATCCACCGCTGCGGAGTGTGGTTCAATTATTAGTAAATGTGACAGATGCCAATGATAATGCGCCAGTAATTGATTCTATGCTTTATAACGCGACAGTACCTGAAGATGACTACCCGCCGCAATTTGTAACTAAAATCTCAGCCAAGGACTCAGACTCTGGAGAAAATGGACAGATCACTTATCATCTAGTTAATGATTTTGATGGAGCGTTTGTTATCGATGAGAATTCTGGAGAAATTACCACTGACACTAAATTGGATCGAGAAGAGGTAAGTGTGATAAAAGAGAGAAATTGAAATAGAAAAAATAGAAGTAAAATTTAATCTTTATGAATTGTGAATTGAATTTATAAAACTAATGATATAATTTTTCTAGATATCGTCTTATGAACTAATTGTGGAGGCTAAGGATCAGGGTCAACCTAGATTGACCGGTACAGCTACAGTTCTTATTACTGTCCTTGATAAAAATGACAACCCTCCCCGTTTCACGAGATTATTCAGCGTCAATGTCACTGAAAATGCCGAAATCGGAGCATTTGTAATTAAAATTACAAGCAGTGATCAGGACATTGATCAAAATGCAAATGTCACTTATAGTTTCACGGAGAATCCTGGTGAAAAATTTGCGATTGATCCGTTGAGTGGAAACGTTACAGTAATTGGACACTTGGATAGGGAGGAACAGGACGAGTATCTTCTCAAGGTAAGTTTTTTTTTGTACATTTTAGTAAATGTTTTTTGAATATCTTTGGTTATCATTCAAAATATTGTTCTCTCATCGAAACAATCTCATTGAATATTATCTCATATTCCGTTCATTAATGATAATTCTTTTCTGATCGCTAGGTCGCTGCAGCAGACGGTGCTTGGGGTGCGGAAACACCATTAACAATTACTATTCAAGACCAGAATGATAATGCGCCAGAATTTGTTGAAGAATCGTACCACTTTCACTTCCCAGAACTCCAACAACGAATGGCCCACGTTGGAGAGGTGACAGCCACCGACAGAGATAAACAAGGTCCCAATTCCGTCATATCATACAGTCTTCTCCAACCGTCCGATCTTTTCACAGTAGATCCTGCAACCGGAGACATTTTCAGTAAACGAACCTTGAAATATAAACATACTCACAGACCGTCATCGCCAGAAAATCTTTTCTCCCTAACTGTCATCGCTACAGACAATGGAAAACCTCCCATGTCCTCGAAAACACTAGTCTACATCAATATTGTCGATGCAAACAATAATCCACCAAAGTTTGAACATAGATCTTACTTGACTCCAGTGCCAGAAAATTTCTCCATGGGTAAACAGCTCATGCAGTTGATAGCTACTGACGAAACCGACTTTGGAGTTAATGCAGAAATTGAATACTCAATCGCAACTGGAAACGGTAGTGAATATTTCGAAATAGACGAGAAATCAGGTTGGATTTATGTCCGAAAGCCTTTGAGTAATCTAAAACCGGGCACCACTTTCGTTTTACAAGCCCAAGCTGTGGACAGAGGTGTTCCTCCTCAGAAAGATCAAGTGCCACTGACCTTGGTGATAACTGGGGAAAATCGTCACGCTCCCACCTTCGAAGCCGTTAGTTATCAAGTTCGAGTGCCTGAGAATGAACCAGTGAATACTACAATTTTGACCGTGAGTGCTGTCGATGGTGACGCTGGACCTAATGGAATGGTTCGTTATAAGATATCAGCTGGAAATGAACGACAAGAATTTTCTATTCATCCCGTCACTGGAGTGGTGACCCTTTTGGAACCATTAGACTACGATACTATTCAAGAATATCGTCTGAACATCACGGCAACAGATTTAGCTTTCGAATCAAAACGAGCAATTGCAACCCTAACCATTAACGTCTCTGATATTAACGACAATCACCCAACATTCAATCAAAGTGTCTACAAAGCTTATCTTCCAGAAAATTCACCGCCAAATAATTTTGTCTATAAAGTTGCCGCCAAAGATATTGACTCTCCAAAGTATTCAGTGATTCAGTACAAGATTCTCGGTGGCAGTGGTAAAGATTATTTTCAAATTCAACAAGACACAGGAACAATTACCGCGAAAGTCAGTTTTGATTATGAAGAAGCTAATGAATATACTCTGGATATAGTTGCCGCTAATCCTGACACGAGTCCACAAATGGTGGGAGTGACAACTGTCATGATTTACATCACGGGTGTTAATGAATTTTATCCCAAGTTCGTTCAACCAGTTTTTCATATGGATGTCTCGGAAAGTGCACAAGTGGGAACTTCGGTGGGACTCGTTCAAGCGACTGATCAAGACGCTGGTAACGATGGACGGGTTTATTACCTTTTTGTGGGATCGTCGAATGATAAAGGATTTACGATCGGATCAGAGACGGGAATGATCAGTGTTTCGAGAAGATTGGATAGGGAGACGCAGAATCGAGTGGTGTTGACTGTGATGGCAAAGAATAGTGGTGGAATCCGAGGGAATGATACCGATGAAGCTCAAGTTGTTATTTCTATTCAGGACGGTAACGATCCACCGGAATTTCTACAGAGTGTTTATGACGCAAATGTTTCCGAGGGTGCCGCATTGGGAATGAGAGTATTGACAGTTCGAGCGGTCGACAAGGACGTCAGGCCGCAGAATAATCAGTTTTCCTACTCAATCATCGGTGGCAACGTGGGCCAAGCATTCAAGGTCGATCCGCAAACTGGCGACATCGAGACTGCGAAACAACTAGACCGTGAAACTGTGCCCACGTACGAGCTGATAATCGGCGCCATAGACACGGGATCGCCGCCACAAACCGGCACTGCGACAGTTCGAATCGAGCTCTTGGATATTAATGATAACGGACCGGATTTCGCTTCCAGCGAAGTGGTCGGTTACGTTAGTGAGAATGAACCGGCTGGCACGATTATCATGACTCTAACAGCCACGGACCCTGATTTGCCACCGAATGGCGCTCCATTCTCTTACAGATTGATTGGAGGCAGACAAAACGATTTGGTCAGCTTGGATAAACATTCCGGTGTCCTTCGAACAACCAAGAGTCTCGATAGAGAAACAACCCAACAACTTGATCTCGTGGTGAGATATTTCAGATTTTTAAAAAATGCATTTATTCCTTTTTTTCTGTATATTAATGATGTACAGAATCAGGGTTGCCACAGGCAAGGGAAGTCAGAGAATTCAGGGACCTTCAATTTTTTCTATTTCTGACAATAATTTCATTGTGAATAACTTAATTCTTGAACAACTATCATAAAATTATTACTTATACATTATTTAATGAATAATTCTACTTAAATATCTTAAAATTAATTGAACTTTAAAAGAGTTTCATTTACAATTTTCATAAATAGATGAATTTCAAAAGATTTTAATTTAAAATTTTAGAAAATTTCAATTTTAAATGAATTTTATTAGAATCTTTCAAAGAACTTAGATTTTTTAAAAATTGTAATAATTCAAATTCTTCTGAAATTAATTAAATTTTTAAAAAATACCTATATTTAACTAATTATTAAAAATAATGGATTTATAAAAGAATTTTAGTTAAAAACTCTTAAAAAAATTGAATTGAACAGGTTTCAAATTCAAATCTTTGCAAAATCTGAATTTTTCTTAATTTTATATAATAATTGTGTGTAGAACTAATTATTTTGAAAATTTTAATTTCAGGTCTGTTGAAATTAGTTGAATTTTGTAACACATATTTAATATTATTTCAAAATTTATAAAGCAAATCTTCGAAAGAATTCAATTATCTTGATAAATATCAAAATTCTTCCCAGAAAATCAATTATTTTTAATAATTTTAATAAAATTCTTTGCAAAATTCAATTATTTTCATAAATAACAATATTCTTCACAATTTTAAAAAATTCTCGTCCAAATTTCAATTATCTTTATGAATAATAAAAATCTTCTCTGAAATTCAATTATTTTCAAAAATTTTAATAAAATTCTTCTAAATTCTTTTGATAAAATTTCAATTATTTTCAAAAATTCTCCTCATGTCAATGACTTTCAATATCTACTATTTTAATAAAATTGTCGAAAAGAATTCAATTATAATAAAAAATGTTAATGAAATTCTACGCAAAATTTTAATTATTTTCATAAATAATCAAAATTGAACGAATTTAATTTTCAAAAATTTTAAAAGAATTCTTTACAAAAATCACTTATTTTCACAAGTAACAAAATGATGCTTAGAAATTAAATTATTTTTCAATGTTTTAATAAAATTCTTTACTAGAATTCAATTATTTTTAAAAATAATGAAATTCTTAGCAAAATTTCAATTTTTTTCAAGAGTATTAATAAAATTCTTCTGAATTCTTCTGATAAAATTTCAATTAATTTCAAAAATTCTCCTCAGTTAAATGATTTTCAATATCTACTATTTTAAAAATAAATTTCCAAAAGAATACAATTATTTTAAAAACAATTAAATAAAAATATACGGAAACATTAAATTATTTTCATAAATATTAAAAATTTCACACAAATTCAATTATTTTTATTAAATTTCTCGAAAAAATTTAATTTTCAACAATGTTAATAGAATTTAAAAAAAAAATTCAATTATTTTCATAAGTAATAAAATTCAGCGCAGAAATTCAATTATTTTAAAAAATAATAATAATGAAATTCTTCTTAAAATTCAATTATTTTGATAAATAATTGAATAATTTAAAAATTTGTTGATAACATTATTTATGAGAATTCATATTTGACAAAAATCCAATTATTCAATAAATAATTAATTTTTTTTATAAATAATTGAATTCTTGTAGAATTTTCTAATGAAAATTGATTTAAAAATGAATTTCAGTTGAAATTTTAAATAATAATTGAATTACAGCAAGAATTTTTAGAAATAATTGAATTTTGAAAATGTTTCAAATTAAAATCTTTAAAACTCGTAACTTTTCATACTTTTCACTAACAATTCTGTAGAATTAATTTTTTTGAAAAATTTTAATTTCAATTCTTTTGAAATTATTTAAAGTTTTTATTTTCTATTATATATATTTAATTGAAGAATTTAAGAATAATCGAAATTTCGTTAAATTGTAAAAAAATAATTGAAAAGACTCAAAGAATTTCTTCAAAAATTAGGAAAAACGATTTATTTAAAGAAGAATTTTAGTGTCAGGGAAATAGTCAAAATTTTGTCTGGAAGTCAAGGAAAAATCAGGGAAAATCAAAATTAAATTTCTTTGGCAACCCTGAGAATGTATATTAATGTATATTATATGTATTTATTGTGTATATTTTGTATATTAATAAAAAAAAATATTTTCTTTAGGTTGAAGTGGAAGATTCCGGTTTGCCAAGAATGAAAAATGAGCACACAATATCGATAATTGTTCAAGATCAAAATGATTGCCCTTCAACTCCACGATCTGTTCATGTGATAGTTCATTCCTACAATGGTTTGAGTCCATTGGGAAAAATCGCCGACGTCCATCCAAATGATCCCGATACCACTGGCGACTACTCTTGCAAAATATTGCACGGTTCCAGCTCCGGTGTGCTCAATATACCGGTCGGTTGTGATTTGCATACCAGCAAAATTACGCCAGGTTCGTGTTCGAAAGTTCATAAATTAGTCTGAAAATTACATGCATACTACGCCATTAATAATTCATAGAATTTATGAAGAAAGTCTGCATCAGTTGTAAAGAGTAATATTATCATATGAATCAACTGAAGAAATAATATCGACAATCTTGAGCTTTAACATAAAATTAATTAATTACATTTAATAATCATTCTTGTCTCTTAAAAACTTTAACACTTTTTCTCTACTATCTGAATCTGCTATATAATCTTTCAATATGAATCATTCTAATAATTAATAGTAAAATAATTTTGTTTCTCGATTCAGGTTTCGGATATTCTTTAAGTATTTCTGGAAACGATGGCCGACATCCCGATGTAATATCAAAAGTGACAGTGGATTTTACAACGTTCACAAACGACACTGTCGAAAATAGCGTTGCGTTGCAAATTTCGAAAATGTCTGCAAGTGAATTTTTGAGTAAACACTATCGAGCCTTCAGAGACACCCTCCAGGAGAATGTGAATGTTGGCGACACTATATCAATTTACAGCATTAACGAAAACAAAGGCAATCTCGATATTTATTTGGCAATCGCAACTCCTCAAGGTTATCTTCGAAAATATGAAGTAATTGAATTGTTGACCCGCAAGCACAATCAAATTCAAAGTCTACTGGAAAATAATTCAATTACTATTGGATATTCACCTTGTAAATTCTCATCATGCGACAATGGCGGAATATGCAGTGATCGAATTGTTGTCTATGAAGACGCACGAATCACTGATAGTCAAACTTTAATTTTAACATCGCCAAAAATAATACAAGAAATGGTTTGCCAATGCCGCGACGGTTTCACTGGTGAAAGATGCGAAAAGAAACAAGATCCCTGCTCTCCAAATCCATGTCAGTTGGTAAGTATCGTATGTTTACAAGACATAAATTAAGGCGTATGGAAAATAACTCGAAAGATTAATTTATGTACTGATGAACTTTTAATTAATATCCTGTTTCAATTTGAAAAGTGTTTATTAATGATTCTTGAATTTATTTTTAAATTTTAACACGAATCTGTTTCAGGGTGGTCAATGTCGTAGATTGGGATACGATTTTCACTGCACGTGTCCTCTTGATCGAGAAGGAAAGTTCTGTGAATTGGAGAGAGGAGATTTCTGTGCCAGTAATCCTTGCAGGAATGGTGGCTCTTGCAAAGAAAGTCCCGACGGTTCAAGTTTCTTCTGTCTCTGTAGGGCCGGATACAGGGGGAACCATTGCGAATCCATCGCTGATTCTTGTAGACCAAATCCTTGTTTGCATGGAGGTCTTTGCGTTGGAGAGAAACCAGGGTATTTATTATTATTATTATTATTATTATTATTATTACTAGCAAATGATACGCGCGGAACGCGGTATTCAATTTCTTTTTATTTTTTAAATTAAAAAATTTTATATTTTCAAGAATAAACATCAATTTTTGAATGATTACAGATTTAAAATTTAAAGAATGCACTTATTAAGTACATGATATTAAATATTCTTGTTTATTATTTTAATTCTAAATTTTAATCAAATTTGTCGCAAGAATTTCATTATTCTCACAAATAGGAATAAAATTCTTTAGAACAATTCAATATTTTCATTTTAATAAAATTTCTCGAAAGAATACAATTATTTTAAAAAATATTAATTAAATTCCATTATTTTCAAGAATTTTAATATAAATTCAATTATTTTCAACAACTTTGATGAAATTCTTTTTAAAAAATCTTTATCATCAAAATTTTTAATAAAATTCCTTCTAAAAATTCAACTATTTTTAAAAATTCAGACAAAATCCTTCGAAACAAATCAATTATTTTTATCAATTGTAAAAACCTCCGCAAGAATTTGATTACTTTCATAAATAAAAAAATTCTTCGTAAGAATTAAAATATTTTCATAAATAATAAAATTCTTCGCAAGAATTAAAATATTTTCATAAATAATAAAATTCTTCCCAGGAATAAAAATACTTTTATAAATAATAAAATGTTTCAGAGAAATTCAATTATTTTCAATACAATTTTAATAAAATTTCTCAATAGAATACAATTATTTTTTTAAATATTATTTAAATTCAATTATTTTCAACAATGCTGATAAAAAAATTCTTCGAAACAATTCAATACTTTTTATAATTGTAAAATTCTTGTCAAGAATTCAATTATTTTCATAAATAATAAAATGTTTAAAAAAAAATTCAATTATTTTCAATACAATTTTAATACAATTTCTAGGAAAAAAATTCAATTATAATCAAGATAATTTTTCTAACAGATTAAAATATTTTTAAAAATTGTAATAAAATTTTTCTTCTCAAAAGTTTTTAATAAAATTCTTTGCAAATTTCAATTATTTTAAAGAATTTTAATAAAAATTTAGCCAAGAATTAAATTATTTTCAATACAATTTTAATTACATTTTCTCGAAAGAATTCAATAATTGAAAAAAATGTTGATAAAATTCTTAAAATGAATTAAATTATTTTCAAATTTTTTTATAAATACTTTACAGGAATGCAGTGATTTTCAGTACATCGACAATTTGATTATTTCTGAAAATAACTGAATTCTTGAATAGAATTTTATAAAAACTTTTATAAATAATTGATATTTGCAAAAAAAAATTATTATTTCTACAAATAATTGAATTTTTGCAGAATTTAAAAAAATAAGTGAATATTTGAGAAAAATTTTATTAAAATTGTATTTAAAATAATTGAATTCCTGTGAAAAATTGACTATTTATTGATATTATTGAATTCTTTCGATGCATTTAAAAAAAAAATGTTTAAAAATAATTTAATTTTCCCTGGAATTCAATTAAAATTGTATTTAAAATAATTTAATTCCAGCGAAAATTTCATTTGTTTTTAAAAATAATTGAATTCTTGAATTGGATTTTATTAAAAGTTTTTTAAATAATTGAACTCCTGTGAAAAATTCAATTATTTTTTTAAATAATGGAATTATCTCGAAGAATTTTTACAAGATTTTTAAAAATAATTAAAATTTTCGAAGAAATTAATTAAAATTGTATTGAATATAAGTGAAATCCTGATAAGAATTTTATTATTTATTTAAAAATAATTGAATTTTTTACAAAGATTTTTATTATTTATAAATTGACTAAAGAATTTTATTGCAATTATTGAAAGTAATTGAATTTTTCATAAAATTCAATTATTTTCAAATTTTTTCATAAATATTTTTCAAGAATTCAATGATTTTCAGTACATTAATTTAAAAATTTTAAACATTTAAAAAGAAAAATTATTTTAAAAATTAGAAAACAAAAAAGTAAACAGCAACTAACTTTAAACTACGAACAGATTACCGAAATACAACGATTTTTAATATAGAAGATAGATTATTATTATTACATTTTTTTTAACTATTAAAATTTCTGTATATTCAGATATCGGTGCAGTTGCCCTGACGGTCGTTATGGAAGACATTGTGAAAAGTCAACCTTTGGATTTGAAGAACTGTCCTATATGTCTTTCCCAGCACTGGACTCGAATACAAATGATATAACGATTGTTTTTGCAACAACCAAACCTGACGCTCTCTTGTTGTACAACTACGGACCGCAAAGTGCAGGACGCTCAGATTTTGTTGTTCTGGAGTTGATTAATGGTAGAGTGGTCTTTTCCTACGGAGGAGCGAGAAGTGCAATTACCTCCATTTCAATCAAAAATGGAAAATCCTTAGCCGATGGAGGATGGCGTAAAATTACGGCAACGAGAAATGGAAGAGTTGTCTCTCTGAGTGTCTCCAAATGCAAGGAACATGGTGATGTTTGTGATGATTGTAAACCTGGCGATGGAATGTGCTATACAGATGACATTGGACCAACAGGAACATTAAATTTCAACAACAATCCTTTGATGCTTGGTGGATTGGCGAGTATCGATCCTCTTTTGGAAAGACCAGGACAAGTGCATTCGGATGATTTAGTTGGTTGTATACATTCTGTATCGATAAATGGAAGAGCGTTGAATCTTACGAATCCGTTATCGTCTCGAGGGGTGAAGTCAACTTGTGGAAGATCTGAGGGAAGTCCTTGCGCTGCAAACAAGCAGGACTTTAATACTGTATGTGGCTCCGGGAAATGTTACGATAAATGGAACCAAGTTTCTTGTCAGTGTGGAAGCGTAACGGCTCCTAATTGTCATGGGGCTTTGGAACCAGTCAACTTGAGCGAAGGAGGATATGTTGAATTTAAAGTACGTATCAGGCAACAAAAGTTTTTACTTCTTTTTTTAGTTTTTATTTCTGTAAGGAACTTACATTTCTAATGAATATGATTTTTTTCAGATTTCGGAAAGACATCGTAGAATGCAATTACTTGAATATTTGTACGGTGGCTCTACATTATGGCACAATCATCGTACTGCAAGATCTACAAGTGGAGATTCCTTTTTCATCTCTAATCCAGCTCCCGCAAAAATGATAAGTTTAATGTTTAGGACAGTGAAGCCAGACGGAGTTCTAATTTATGCGGCTACTAATAAACACTTCACTTCTGTAGAGGTAATATTGTCATTAATTATTAACTTTATTAACATTTAATTCAGGGTTGCCAAAGGTAGAATTCCCAGGGAATTCAGGGAAAAGTCAGGGAAAGTAGAATTGGTCAGGGATTTTTATTAATGTACTAGAAAAAATTGAATTTTGGAGAAGTTACAAATGATTGTAGAAATTCAATTATTTTTAAAAACTTTTTAAAAAGTTCGCGTCAAAGTTTCAATTATCTTTAAAATTAATAAAATTCTTCTCTAAAATTCAATTATTTTCAAAAATCTTAATAAAATTCTTGGCGAAATTTCAATTATTTTCAAAAATTTTTCTCAATTCATATTTTCAATATTTACTATTTTAATAAAATTTTTCAAAAGAATTCAATTAATTAAAAAAAAGTGTTAATTAAATTATTAAAAAATATTAAATTATTTTTATAAATAATAAAAATTTAAATTATTTTTAATACTATTTTAATTGAATTCCTCGAAAATGTAATTATTCTTGTATTTAAATAATTGAATTCTCATAGAGTTTTATAATAAAAATTGATTTAAAAATGAATTTCAGTTAAAATTTTAGATAATAATTAAATATTAAAAGCATTATAGCATGAATGCATTTTGAAAAGGTTTTAAATTAAAATCTTTGAAAATATTAATCGGAACTTTTCATACTTTTCACTAACAATTCTGTAGAATTAATTTTCTTGAAAAATTTTAATTTCAATTCTATTGAAATTATTTGAAGTTTTTATTTTCTATGTTATATTTAATTAAAGATTTTCAGAATAATCGTAATTTCGTAAAATTGAATTGTAAACAAATAGAATTGAAAGTACTTTTTCAAAAATTATGAAAAATTATTTATTTGAAGAAGAATTTTAGTTAAAAATTTTAGAAAATAATAATTGTAATAATAATAATAAATAATTTTGAAGAAGTTGCAGTTGCAATATTTTTATAATATAAAATAATGATATCACTCGGTCAGCTTTAATTATTAAAAAACATGAAGACACCGATTGCTCCGAGTCGAAGACTCGGAGTGATCGATATCTTCATGTTTTTTAATAATATTCTTATAAATGTATTAGAACATTTTTTTGAGTATCTAATAATTTGTAGAGTGAATCAGAATATTCTTTAGTGTCAGGGAAAGAGCAAAATCAGTTTGGAAAAAGTCTGGAAATCAGGGAAAAGTCAGGGAAAAACAAAATTAATTTTTTGTGGCAATCATGTAATTGTAATAACTAAAATTATTTAAAATTATAATTTACTTTATTTTTAAAAATATTTACAAATCTTTATTTCCTTACAGTTGAGTAACGGACATATAATATACGCCTCCATGATCGGATCCCCTGTGAATATGACAGGAAGCATTGAAGGCAGTCTGGCGGACGGGCGATGGCACAATTTGACACTTCACGCTCATTCGAGAGGTTTGAAGCTCTTCATCGATGGAAACCTGGCAGGTGATGAATTGGATTCAGCAGGAGTCCACGACTTTTTGGATCCATATTTGTCAATTCTCACCATTGGAGGAATCAGAAGAGATCTTTATTACGTTCACAACAATCAAGGACCCAATAGTTTTGAAGGTTGTTTGGCAAATTTCACAATCAACGGAGAACTTCAGCCATTCAATGGTTCCGGTTCTATTCTAACCGACGTCATCTATCATGGAAAAGTTGGACTTGGCTGCAGAGGACCCATCGGAATCTCAGCGGCCGCTGCTGCAGATCCTCTCAGTATTGGAATAACTCTAGTAATCGTTTTCTTTATAACACTCCTTATTGCGATCATGGTCAGTTTTGTTGTCTTTAGACTCAGACGACAAAGTAAGGAAAAATCTGCAACTACGGTTGTAAATAAGAGTACAAACGCAATTATAACTGGTAATTCCCTAGTTGGTTCTCCAGGTGACAACCTCCTGTCAAGACACGAAAACACTTATATATCCGATAATTCCGATTTACGTTGCGTTGGTCACCTAGGTCCGGAACTTATATCTAAAAAATACAAGGAACGAGAGATAAATGGCACCGAGCACCGTCCTCAGCGACCCGACATCATCGAGAGGGAAGTCACCAAGTCTCCACCAATTCGTGACGAACACCCACCACTCCCCCCACCGACTAAAAATTCTCTCCACTCCCATGAACATAACCCAGAACCTGACATGCCAGAGCATTATGATCTCGAAAACGCGAGTTCCATAGCTCCGAGTGATATTGACATTGTCTATCATTATCAAGGATACAGAGCGGGAATGAGAAAGTACAAAGCAACGTCGCCTCCAATTGGAAGCTATGCCAATCATCACAAGCACACCGGGCAACAGCATCGACATACGGCCCCGTTCCCACCCAGAGCAATGCCACCTCCAGCGGTTGGTCAACCTCCAGGATCGGTGCAGAAACTCCATCAGAGCACACCACTGGCGAGACTCTCTCCCAGCAGTGAACTCTCCGCCCAACAACCGAGGATTTTGACTCTACATGACATCAGCGGAAAACCTCTCCAGACTGCATTGTTGGCGACAACTTCATCGTCTGGAGGAGTTGGAAAAGATGTCCTGAACTCCAACAGTGAGAGAAGTCTCAACTCGCCAATTATGAGTCAACTCTCCGGTTCAACTGCAAGCCGAAAGGTTCCTCAGTCAAATGAAACGGTGAACAACGTTTCCTCGGGACCAATGGGCCTCACTGCTGAAGAAATCGAGAGACTAAACTCCAGGCCAAGAACATCGAGTTTGGTCTCCACTTTGGACGCTGTGAGTTCTTCGAGCGAAGCAAGAGGACCTCCGACGCATGGACCTCTTCATCTACACAGGAGGCACACTCCACCGCCCGAAAGACTGAAAAGAAGGAACTCCTCGACTACGGATGAGAGTGGTAACGATAGCTTCACATGTTCGGAAATTGAGTACGATAATAATTCTTTAGTTGAAGATAAACGATCTGATGACTTATTTAGTAAACCCGAAGATGAGGTTCCCGTCAGAACAACTGAGTCGTCACCCTCCACGAAACCTCCCCTTCCGCCGAATATCAACTACGACGGATTCGACAGCTCGTTTCGGGGTTCGCTGAGCACTCTGGTTGCTTCCGACGATGATCTTTCGACACACATGGGAGGACTTTATAGGCCGACGACAAACGGTTCACCATCCACCAACACGGCTCTCAGTTGGGACTATCTCTTAAATTGGGGGCCAAATTTCGAGAGTTTGGTCGGAGTATTCATAGACATTGCCGAATTGCCTGACAGTGCCAACCGGGTGCAGAGCACTCTCAGACTACCAGCAAATATTCCCAAACCATCGGAAGAGTACGTTTGAAAAATATACTCTTATTTAAATTATTCAAAAGGTTTGTTAAAAACACAAAAATATTTTTATTTAATTGCTCATTTAAGAGAATGAAAATTATTATTTTCAAGCCAAGACATGACTGAGATTATTTAAAAAAATTGTTCTTGCCATACAATGTTCTCTAAATATGTAAAAATTATTGCAGAAAAAGAGAATCGAAAATTAGAGCTTAAAAAGCTATTTTTTTAAAGTATCCTGACATCTTGTATCAGGATGTCAGCGAGTTTGTACAGTTAATAGTGAAAAATTACCTAATTATATATAGACTGTAATTACTATAAAAAAAATTAAATTATGGTGCAATGTCTTGTAATTTTTTTTATTATTTCTCGAAATAATTTTCTAGAATGTACAAGCTAGGTTTTTCTAATAGTTCAATTACTTTTTTGTAACTGTACTCAAAAATTGTAGACAACAATTTTTTTTTGTATATTCCCAATTGCAGTGTAATATTTTTGTATATTATTATATTCTTAATATTATTTAAATTACTAAGAAATGTTTAAAAAAAAAAATTCTACTTTACATTTCTAGCCATAATTGTTATCGATAAAAATAAACCTCAACATCGCTAGACTGACTACGTAGTCTTTACGATATGCCATGAATTCTTTTTCATTGCCTATATAAATCGTCAAGTACTGTGTAAAATAGATTTGTTTGTAAATATTGTATGCAATTGACCTGTACAAAGAAAAAGTCTGAATCAAGAGAAAATGTATTGAATGTATACGTGTGTTAATTTACAATATTTGTAATAAATATTAAAAAAAAATCTTTGTGTTGTTTTACCCTAAAAATAGATTATTTTTCCATAGAAATTAAGATTTTCAAAAATTTTAAATTCAAATATCTCAACCTTTTTTAAATTGAACAACTTACAAAGAATATTATATAAAACATGAAGATATCGATCACTACGAGTCAAAGACTCGGAGTGATTGATTTCTTCATGTTTTCATAATAATTAAGGATAAAATCATTATTTTATATTACAAGATTATTTGTTAATAATTTTTAAAAAAGTTTTTTAAGAATATTCAAATCCATTTGTTTACGATTCAATTTTACAAAATTTTGATTATTCGAAAATTCTTCAACTAAATATAATTATATAAGAAAATAAAAACTTTAAATACAAACAATTTTAAAAACAATTTAGTTAAACTTTATCAAAAAAATTAATTATACAGAATTGTAAGTTAAAAGTATGAAAAATTCAAATTTTCAAAGATTTTAATTTGAAAATTTTTGAAAATTCAATTGTTTCTAAAAATTCACGCTATAGTGCTTATAATATTCTTATCATCTAAAATTGAATTCTCATAAAACATTTTATCAACAAATTTTTAAATAATTCAATTCTTTTTTTCGAATTTTTGACAATAATTGAAAACTAGTCAAAAATGTTATTAACATTTTTGAAAAGAATTGAACTTTTGCTAAGAATCTTATTAAAATTCTTAAAAATAATTCCATTTTTCGCAGAATTTTATTATAAAAATAATTGAATTTTTGTGAAGAATTTTATTTAAATTTTTAAAAATAATTGAAATTTTGCTACGAATTTCGTTAGTTTTGAAAATATAAATGAATTCCTGTGAAAAGTTTTATTAAAATTTTTGAAAATAATTGAACTTTTTGAAAAGAATTTTATTATTTATAAAAATTGAATTTCAAAATTTTAAAAATATAAAAAAATAAAATAAATAATAAATTTTGAAAAATAAATTAAATTTATAAATGAATTCCTGTAAAGAATTTTATTAAAACTTTTAAAAATAATTGAACTTCAGCGCAAAATTTTTTTACTTTTAAAATTAATTGAATTTTTGTAATGAATTTTATTAAAATTCTTGAAAATAATTAAATTTTTGAAAAGAATGTTATTATTCATAAAAATTTTTGAATTATTGTGAAGAATTATATTAAAATTCTAGAAAATAATTGAAATTTTTCTACGAATTTCGTTAATTTTGAAAATATAAATGAATTCCTGTGAAGAATTTTATTAAAAATTTTCAAAAAATAATTAAATTACACATTTTTAAAATATAAAAAAAAAATAAAATAATAAATTTTAAAAAATAAATTAAAATTATAAATGAATTCCTGTGAAAATTTTTTTTAAAAATAATTAAATTTATCCACAGAATTTTATTGCTTATGAAAATATTTGAATTTTTGTAAAGAATTTTATTGAAATTGTTGAAAATTAAATTCTTTCGAGGAATTTAATAAAAATAATTGAATTCCATTGAAATTTTTAAAAGTAATTGAATTTCTGCGCAAAATTTTATTACTTATGAAAATAATTAAATGTTTGAAAATAATTGAATGTTTGAAAATAATTTTATTATTGGAAATAATTGAATTATTGTGAAGAATTTTATTAAAATTCTTGAAAATAATTTAAATTTTGCTACGAATTTCGTTAGTTTTGAAAATATAAATGAATTCCTGAGAAGAATTTTATTAAAAAATAATTAAATTTCAAAATTTTTAAAATATAAAATAATAAATTTTAAAAATAAATTAAATTTATAAATGAATTCCTGTGAAGAACTTAATTAAAAACTTTTTAAAAAATAATTAAATTTCTCCACAGAATTTTATTGATTATGAAAATAATTGAATTTTTCTAAAGCATTCTGTTGAAATTGTTGAAAAATAAATGCTTTCGAGGAATTTAATAAAAGTAATTGAATTCCTGTGAAATATTTATTTTTTATGAGAATAATTAAATGTTTGCCTAGAATTTCATTAACATTTTTTTTTAAATAATTGAATTCTTTTGGAAAATTTTATTAAAATAGTAGATATTGAAAATCATTGAATTGAGGAATATAATTGAAATTTTACCAAAGATTTTATTAAAATCTTTGAAAATAATTGAATTTTTGCGAAAAAAAAATTTGCTATTTATAAAAATTATTGAAATCTTGAAGATAATTTTAACAAAAAATTGTTAAGATAATTGAATTTCTGTGAAGAATTTTATTTTTGAAAAATATTGAATGGAATTGAATGTTGCCAAGAATTTTAAGAAACAAATATTCAGAATATTTATAGTAATATAAACACCAAAAATATTTTATAAATAGAAATATTTATTTTGATTACATTTTTGACTGCTTCTAAAATGGTAGAAAATTTTAAAAAATACTTAACAATTACATTAGTTTTACAAAATGTAAACTTTTTTCCAAATGACATATTTCTTACATTTTAATATTATGTTTTTCTTGTATTTTAAATATTTTCTTAAATACATACGCACACGCATCTATTTTAACATTATTTAAAAGGAAGTATTTTTTAACTAGTACTAAAAGTATAAATTGGTTATAATTAGATTATCATTTATTAACCACTGGTGACTAGCAATCTTTAAAACAGTGATAAACCTAATATGAGTATAGGAGTTTTTGTAACACTCTCCTTTAGAAAAGTTTACAAGAAGCAAATATTTGTTGATTGTTTGTAATTTTTGCTGGCGTGAAATTCAGAGAAAGAATCAATTTCTACTGGAAAAAGTCAATAGAAACTGTTTTCTGACGTAAACGTGAACTTACACTTTGTTTGCTTCTTATATCTTTTTTCGGAGCGAATGATAATTGTAAACACGTTGTAAATATAAATTATTGTAAAAATATTACATCTAACCAATATTAGTAGTTTAAAATATTTTGTTCGGAAACAGTCTTTATAAATTCAATGCACATGTCTCTCTTATTTAAAAAAGAAGAAACTTTTTCGTTTTCTCTTACGATATTACATATCTTACTATATTTGGAGTAACAGATTCTATATTATACTGATATAAGTGTTGATATAAAGGAGTAATTATTAATTTCTATTAGCAAAATATAAAATTTACCAATTATCCAAAAATTCAAATCCAGTCTTTGGAATGGAATCATCTTGATTCAAATGTGAGGATTGATAACTATTGTAAGAACTTGGAGTATCTAGCAATGCAGTGGATTCAGTAGTGTCGCTAGATTGTTTTCTTGCATTAGTTAAACTAATATTCATTTGAGACTTATCACTAATTGATGTTTTTTGTGCATTTCTCATTGGCACCAAACTTTCGAGATCATCATCATCGACGTTGTCGTCGTCGTCTTCATCGTCATAATTAGATTGTATCTGAAGTAAAGAAGTCTTGTTCATTATTTTGGAGAAAATATTTTCCGAATTATCACTGTCAGTCAGACTATTGAGAAGATTGCTGCATTCGTTCGTGGAATAGATTGTATCCGAATAATTATCCGATTTGTAGAAACAGAGTTTATTTGAAGACAGGTTATTATAATCACCACTGAGTAAAACTTCATTGTCATTGGAATTTTTCATTGGACTGGAATAGTGGGGTGATCCCATAATATAATTCCCGTAGGAATAAGATTTCATCTCTTCGGCCGAATCCGATAAACTGAGATTCATTTGTGATTGTGTCATAAAAGAAAATGGTGCTGAGTGTTCATCACGCCAACGCAATGTCTAAAAGAAAATAGACTTTCACTTTCTGAATAATTAAGAATAAAATAAAAACATTTTTCTATATCTATTATATACTTTATTATCCGGGTTGCCACGCTTTTGCTCTTTTCAAATTCCCTGACTTTTCCAGGTTTCCCAGGTTAAAAACGGAATTTTTCCAGGTTTTTAAAACTAAATTTACATTTTACCAAATTAAATAACTCCCTGATTTCCAAACAGAACTTTGACTTTTTTCCCGATTCTAAAGAATATTCCGATTCACTCGCAAAATTATTGGATACACAAAAAAATGATCTATTACATTTATTTACGAATTTCTTGAATTATTAAATTATTCAAAAAAACATCAATAACTTCATTTTTAAATAAATAAATATTTAATAATTATTATTTTTCCACAAGAATTAAGATTTTCAAAAATTTCAAATTCAATATATATTATAATAATTAAAACTTGCTACTTTGTTACTGCAACTTCTTCAAAAATTATTTTTATCATTTCGATTATTCATTTCTACAATTTTCAAATCCTTTTGTTAACAATTTAATTTTACGAAATTTCGATTATTCTGACATTCTTTAATTAAATATATTACAAATTAAAAACTTCAAGTAATTAAAAAAAAATTCCATTAAACTTTTTGAAAAAAATTAATTCTACAGAATTCTTCATTAAAAGTATGAAAAGTTCAAATTTTCAAAGATTTTAAATTGAAAGTTTTGAAAATTCAATTATTTTTAAAAATTCTTTCCTGCAATTTTATTAAAATTGTATTAAAAATAATTAAATTTTTGCAAAGAATTTTACTATTTATAAATATAATTGAATTTTTTCGAAGAATCAATAAAATGTTATTATAAATGTAAATGTAAATTGGTTAATAATTGAATTTTTTTAAAGTTTGAATCTAAAATTATTCAAAAATTCATATTTGAAAATAAAAAATTTTGTTATTTGCATAATAAAATAATAATAAAATGAACATCTCGTTCCGCGTGCTAGCGCGCATAACATTTGCTAGTGCTTTCAATATTCAATTATAATCTAAAATTAACTGAAATTCATTTTTAAATCAATAATTATTATAAAATTCTACAAGAATTCAATTATTTAAATACAAAAATAAATATTTCATTAAATAATTGAATGTTTTTTAAAATTGAATTTTCATTAAGAATTTTATCAACAAATTTAAAAAAATAATTGAAATTCTGCCAAGATTTTATTAAAATTTTTGAAAATAATTGAATTTTGGAGAAAAATTTTACCTATTATTTTTTAAATATAATTGAAATTTTAACAAGAATTTTTGCAAATTTTTGAACATAAATGAATTTCTGCGAAGAATTATACTTTTGAAAATAATTGAATTCTTGAGACGAATTTTATTGAAATTTCTTTTTAAATAATTGAATTCTTTTGTAAAATTTTATTGAAATAGTAGACATTGAAAATAACTGAATTTTGACAAATTTTTGAAATTAATTAAATTTCTACGAAGAATTTTATTAAAATTAGTTTTAAAAAATTGAATTGATACAAAGAATTTGTGAAAATAATTTAATTTTTTGAAAAAATTAAATTAAAATACATTGAAAATAATACTTAAATTCTAATAAATGAATTGTAGCAAAGGTTTTTAAAAAAAATTGAATTTCTTTGATAAATTTTAATAATATTTTTAAGAATAATTACAATTTTCGAGGAATTCAATTAAAATTGTATTAAAAATAATTGAAAGTCTGCGATGAGTTTTATTATTTGTGAATCCCTTTCAAAAATGTTATTATTTATGATAATAATTGAATAATAACATATGAAAATAATTCGTAAATAATTTAATCTCTGTGAAATTTTTATTATTTATGAAAATAATGAAATGTTTGCGTAGAATTTTAATAAAAGTTTTTTCTTAACTAATTGAATTCTTTTGGGAATTTTTATTAGAGTAGTAGATATTAAAAATCATTGAATTAAGAAAAGTTTTTGATTACAATTTTGACAAGAATTTTATTAAATTTTTTGAAATAATTGAATTTCTGCAATCATTTGTAATTGCTTCAAAGTTCAATTAGTGTTTTTAACTTCAATTCTTCTATAAATTCATTATTTTTAATAATCAATTAAATATATATTAACAAATTTAACTAATTTCAGAAGAATTTTAGTTATTAAAATTTTTTAAAATTTTCAATTAAATTTATTTAAAATTGAAATTATACAAAATTTCATATTAAAATCTTTTGAAGTTTATCTAGTTATGAAAATTGTAAACGCAACTCTTTTAAAATTGAATTAATTTTGAAATATTGAAGTAAAATTAGATTTCAAGAATAAACATAATGAGTAACTTTAGAAAACAACAATTTTCCAGGATTTAGATCAAAATTTCCTGATTTTTCAAGGTTTTTTCAAGGTTTATAAAATTCCCTGACATATCCAGGTTTTCCAAGTTTCCAGGTTTCGTGACAACCCTGATTATATTAAAAAGATAAAAGAAATGTTAAAATTCGTATACTCACCGAACCCGTTTCATCAACCATAAATTTCATCCCAGTTTGTATGCACAATTTTGGATATGATTTTGGCAATTCCTTGGAATCGATTTTTTTTGCAGCATACTTAAGAGCAACTTCTGGTGTAATTATAGTCTCATCAATCGCCTGATTTTGTTCCGATAAACTTAAAGTACTCCAAAGACCCTCATAAGCATCTTTTGTGGCAGCAACATCCTCACCAATTCGTTGAGCCAGAGGATTAATAGTATAAAAATATTCCTCGGCTATTGAACTAAGACCCTTAGTACCCATTTTTCTTCATCAAAATAGGTAAGCAAAACTATTATAAAACAAAAATAAACACTATTTACTAAGAATTAAAATATGTATATAGTAAATTTAACATATAGAATGAGTCATTCTAACCTTTTACTCTATTTTTTGCACCGAAGAGTATTCCAAATTAATAACTGTTTATAATCAGTCTTAATGTTGAATATTATCGTGTCAACATTATCAACTTGCATTGTTGCAAATTACTCTTTATTGAATTAATTAAACGTGACACTCATATTCTAACTATACTTCTGCTTGCTTCTGCTTATGTTTATCAGAATTAACGCATGCGCACGTTGAGATACGTCACGCCCCTTAATTTATGCATTCCTCAATTTTAATTCAAAAATTAAAAAAAAAAAATATCAATTGAAAATAAATAAAAACAAGATCAATTAAATTTATGCAAATTCTAATTTAAATAATTGAATTCTTCAGAAATTTTTATTATTCATGAAAATAATTAAATTCTTACAAAGATTTTTTCAAAAATTTGTTTAAATAAGTATAATTGAATTTTGTTTGGAAATTATATGAAAATATTAGTAGATATTGAAAATCATTGAATTGCGAAAAGTTTTTTAAAATAATTAAATTTTACAAAAAAATTCTATTAAAATTTTTTATAATAATTAAATGTCTGTGTGGTATTTTGATAATTTTTTTTTAAATAATTGAATTCCTAAAAAGCTAGTTATTTATGACAATAATTGAATTTTTGCGAACAATTTTATTAGAATTTTTAAAAATAATTGAATTTTCAAGAAAAAATTTATTACGTTTAAAAATAATTAAATTCTTGGGATGAATATTGTTATTTAAGAAAATATTTGAATTTTGCAAAGAATTTTATTAAAATGTTAAAAAAGAATTGAATTTCTGTGAAAAATTTTGTTACTTTTAAAAATAGTTGCATTCTTGTGGAAAACATTATTTGTGAAAATAATTGAATTTTTCGATTAACTAATTTAAAATAGTTTTAAAAATAATTTAAATTCTTCGATGAGTTTTATTATTTATAAAAATAATTGAATTCTTGCTTAGAATTTTATCAAAAACTTTTTTAAAAAATTGAATTTCCATGAAAAATGTTATTAGTGAAAATAATTGAATTATTGTGAAGAACGGTATAAAAATGTTGTTAAATAATTGATTTTTTTGAAAATGCTATTCTAAATTAATTGAATTAATTAATTCAATTATTTTTAAAAAAAATTGATAAAATTCATCCAAAATTCAATTATTTTATTAATTTTTTTAAAAATAATTGAATTGTTTTGCGAAATTTTATGAAAATACTAGATATTAAAAATAATTGAATTTCGAATATTTTTTGAAAGTAATTGAATCGTTTTAAAGAATTTGATTATAATTTTTGAGAATAGTTTTTTGATTTCTAGTATTAGCGACTTTAAAGTATTGGAAATTCTAAAAAAAACAGAAGTAGTAGCTTTTAGTGGGTGAAATCTAAAAAAAGTACCCAAATAGTAGCATAACGTAAAAAAAGTAGTAAATATTAGGTTTTAGTATGAGTGCGAAGCCTGCAATTAATAATAAATATTCTCAATTTTAAATTATTTTATTTAGAAATATTTAATAAAAACATAAATTATGCCAGTGATGTTTCATCGTTATATATATTTATTTTAATCTTTTTTCGTAGAAAAAACTTTTAATTTACAAAATAAAAAATTTCTCATTAAAACAATTTGAAGTTTACAAAAAAAATGTTTATATGCGATTATGAAAAAATGTTTAATTTCATAAAGAAAACAATTGTATCGTTTTTTAATAACGTTCTCTGGTAAAATTGTCATTGCTTAGAAGTAAAAACCGCTATGATGATATTCTTGACTTATAGAACAATTTTTCTTTTGGTATATTATACAGTTTATCGAAAGAATATTTAAAAAATCCAGTCGATAAATACTATTATAAAGAATGATTTAGATTCAATGGCATGGCACATTTATAAAAGAAAGAAAAATTATTGAACAAAACACTCTTATTATCAAAAAGTGTCTTTCTTTTCTATTTTATAGCAAATTTTCTTTTTCTGATGTTAATATATATTTTAATATTTATGCTTTTCTTACTTACATAAGAAATACTATAGCTACAAAAAATTGTACCTATATTATATTTTCACTAAACGCATTTTTACAATTTACAAATATAATTTGATTTACAACTTTCAAAAATACATTCGCGCCAAACACGCAATCTCTAGACAATTTTATTTTTCTTTTCAATAAGTGAAAACTTCAACTTTATCGTAGGTTTTAAACAATTTGAATAATAATAATAATAATAATAATAATAATTTTTCATACTTATAAGCTGATATTCAAATTATCATCTACTGGAAAATATTTGTTTGATTTCGCCGCAAATTTATAGGAAGATCAAAACGGAACTTAGTCCAGATATAACTAAAATAAAATGTAATTTCTACATTAAAAATCTTAACATAACATTCATAAATTATGTACAAACATATTTGATCTACCATATAAAACTTTTCTCAATCAGAGACAACCGTCCGTTCTATAAAATGTGAGCTTTCTTCTATTTTAGTAAAAAATGTTTTTTAATATTTTTCAATATTTTTTAAAATTAAAATTAAAAATTCGATAATTTTTCAAAATAAAATTGTGTTTTAATTTCACAAACAAAATATGTACATTTAAAAACAAATAAAAGGAGAAAATGAAAATTATTCAAGAAATTTGAATTTCTTTAGTGTTGTCCCTGCTTTAAGAAATTACAATTCTTCTTTTTAATTTTAAAATAAACAGGTATTTCTTATCGAGGAAAATTTTAATCTCTCATATGAAATTAAACGAAAATTAAAAAAATAAATTATTGTTGACAACAAAAATTAGTTAATCAAATAAAAGAAATGTGAAAAGAAATCTGCAGTTCATGTTGAACAGAAATTATCATAACTTTAGTCTATATCACTTGAAACCTTAAACGCTTATGTAAACTTTCCAGAGAATTTTTGAATTCACAATTTTTTTTTGCTTTGAAGCAATACAAATATCTACTGAATTTTATTTCTATATTCACACACTATATTTTGCGAAATTCTTCGCAGAAAATAAACTATTGTAATGGCGAAACTTGGGCATAAGTTTAATTATTACGAAGTAGTGCGTATATTACATATGTTCGGTGTGCCTTTATGCTTTTTTTTTCTTTTTCTTTACAACTTATAGTCTATAATTTTCATTCTCGATTATGCTTCATTACCAAAAATGTTTATTCACAGTTTTTTTTTTTGCCCTTTTTAAGTGCACATTGAGAGCGTTCAATAAAAAAAAATGTTTAATGACTGAATTGTTCAATCTAGTTTAGCACCACTATGACATTTCTGTTTCATTTAAAATTTGAGTAAAGCTTTGTGGAATACAGTTCACATTTTGAGCAGGTAACTGTAAATTGGAAGTTGCATTTAATCCTTCAACTGCTTCAAAAACAGAATTTGAGGAGTTAACATTACTACCAGATACTATATTTTTTATTTTCATAAAGTGATAATGAATTCCGTCGATTTCGGCCCAGATTCTTCTCACTTCTTTAAATAACTGAAAATAATATTTTATTAGAAACACTACACCCAATAAAAATATTTATTATTTACGAATTTCTTTAATTGTCAAATTAATCGAAAACATCAATAACTTCATTTTTGAATAAATATTTAATCGTTACTATTTTTCCATAGGAATTAAAATTCTTCAAAACATTCAAATTCAAACCTTTTAAAATTCAATAAGTTAGAAGAATATTTTATTATAAAACATAAAGAAATCGATCACTCCGAGTCGAAGACTCGGAGTAATCCATTTCTTCATGTTTTATTATAATTCAATTATTGTCCAAAATTTTAACTGAAATTCAGTTTTAAATCAATTTTTTTTAGAAAATTCTACGAGAGTTTAATTATTTAAATACAAAACGAAATAAATCATTGAATAATTGAATCACTGTACAAAAATGTTGTTATTTATGAAAAGAATTAAATTATTGAAAATAAATATTTATAAAAAATTTGTAAATAATTAAATTCCTGGCAAATTTTTATTATTTACGAAAATAATGAAAGGTTTGCGTGGAATGTCATTAAATTTTTTTTTAAATGATTTATTTTTATTTATAAAAATAATTGAATTTTTGTGAAGAATTTTATTAAACATTTTAAAAAATAATTGAATTTCAGCGCAAAATTTTAATACTTATGAAAATAATTGAATTTTTGTAATGAATTTTATTGAAATTGTTGATAATTAAATTCTTTCGAGGAATTTTATAGAAATAATTGAATTTCTTTGAAATTTTTATTATTTATAAAAATAAGTTAATATTTGTCTAGAATACCTATTATTAAAATTTTCAAAAATAATTGAATTTCTGGGCAAAATTTTATTACTTATGAAAATAATTGAATTATTGCGAAAAATTTTATTAAAATGTTTAAAAAGAATTGAATTTCTTTGAAATTTTTATTCTTTATAAAAATAAGTTAATATTTGTCTAGAATATTATTAAAATTTTCAAAAATAATTGAATTTCTGGGCAAAATTTTATTACTTATGAAAATAATTGAATTTTTGAAAAGAATTTTATTATTGAAAATAATTGAATTATTGTGAAAAATTTTATTAAAGTTTTTGAAAATAATTAATGTTTTGCTGTAAACAATTTTATTGAAATTCTTGAAAATAATTAAATGTTTGCGAAGAATTATTATTATTTATAAAAATAATTGAGTTTCATTATTTTTTAAAATAAATGAATTCCTGTAAAGAATTTTATTATTTATAAAAATAATTGAATTTCATTATTTTCGAAAATAATTGAATTCCTATAAAGAATTCTATTATTTATCAAAATAATTGAATTATTGTAAAGAATTTTATTGAAATTCTTTAAAATAATTGAATGTTTGCAAAGAATTTTATTATTTATAAAATTATAAAAATAATTGAATTTTTGTGTAGAATTTTATCAAAATTATCGAAAATAATTGAATTTATGCTAAGAATTTCATTATTTTTGAAAAAGAATTGAATTCCTGTGAAGAATTTTATTAAAACTTTTAAAACTAATTAAATTTCTGTGCAAAATTTAATTACTTATGAAAATAGTTGAATTTTTGTAAAGAATTTTATTGAAATTGTTGAAAATTAAATTCTTTTTATGAATTTAATAAAAATAATTGAATTCCTTTAAAATTTGTAATATTTATGAAAATAATTAAATATTTGTGTAGAATATGTTTAACATTTTTTTGAAATAGTTGAATTGAGGCTCCGGATCTTAAAAGGGCACTTTCACCATGTAAAGTCTATGCGGAAAGTGCCCTTTCAAGATTCGGAGCCTCAATTGCTTTGATAAATTTTATTATATGTAATAGTAGATATTGAAAGTCATTAAATTGAGGAAAATTTTTGATAATAATCGAAACTTTGTCAATGATTTTATTAAAATCTTTGAAAATAATTGAATTATGGCGAGAAATTATGCTACTTTGAAATCTTGAAGATGATTTTAAAAAAATTTTTGAACATAATTAAATTTTTGAGAAGAATTTAATAAAATTTTTAAAAAATTCAATTATTTTCAAAAGTAATAAATATTGAAAATAATTTAATTTTTGCAATCATTCGTAACTTCTACAAAATTCAATTCTTTTAGTGTTTTTAACTAAAATTCTTCTATGAATCTATTATATTTAATAATTAATTAAATATACCTAATAATAAAAAATTGAACTAATTTCTGAAGAATTTGAATTAGTAAAATTTTTCAAAAGTCTAAGTTCTTTAAAATTTGTAATTAAATTCATTAAAAATTGAAATTTTACAAAATTGAACGCAAATAAAATATATTTCGTTCAAATAAAATTTTTCTCTGGGCGTAAAAATACATATCCCTCAAAGTAGAACGAAAATGTTATTAAGTTTAAATATTATTTTAAGATATTTAAAAAAATACCTGATTTAACCACGATTCGTCGGCCAGAAGTTCATTAAGTATTATGGTTGTATCTTTGTGCGGATCTGCAACTCTCTTGTCGCCCACTCTTCTTGCACATTCCAAAAACATAATATATTTCTGATGCGCTACCTTATTAAAAAGTGCGATTTTCGTTTGACAGGTTCGACAGAACAAGAAATCCTAAAATTGACAATGAAAATTAGAAACAAGCAGAATTTAGTAAAATTCGAGTGATTGTTAATTATTAGTGGTATAAATGAATGTAATTATATAAAATACAAAATAATTAAATGTAAAGAAAAAGTAATTACCTTTTCTTGAATAACTTTTGGATCAAGTGGTGAACCTTCCAAAGTAGTTCCATTATATGGTTGTCCATAGAGTAAAACTCTGGTGTTTACTTTATCATTTTCGCAACCAGCGCAAAGTTTTCCTTTATATTCAGACTGCGGCAAATCTTTAAGAATATTTAAGCATGGCCACGTTGAAACGGCCGTTATGACATTTGAACGCCACTTAGTGGTTGACAATAAACGCTGCTTTCTTTCCTCCGTTACGTCATCAACAGTTTTTACATTCGACAAGAAGTAATCATCTATATAAAAAGAAAGAAAGGAGATAAAAATAAGAATAAAGATAGAATAAAGAAAAAAGTAAAGATAAGAAGAAAACAATAAAGAAAGAAGAAAAAAATAAAGAATGAATAAAAAAATAAATAAAAAATTCGCGTGAAAAGAATATTCCGCATATTTAAAATCTTTATTCAAATTCGTAACTAACCTTGTTCTTGGAATATTTCTGTCAGGAAATTCGAATCCAATGCCTGAGATATTAAAGTTTGAATGTAAACTTCAAAATTATCTTGATACTTTTCAGTTTCTTTCATACACTTATCAATGAATTCGCTGTAAAAATATTAATAGATTACTATTTTTTATATTCGGTTTAATAGAAAATTCGAACTGATTACTGTTTCTCGAATTCTTGATAAATAATTCAAATAGTAATTAACAATTACCTATCCTCAACAATCATTTCTTCTCTCAGAAATTCGACTACAGTTTCGAGTTTATCTTGCTGCCAAAATTTAACTGGAACTTGCTGATAAGTATTACGATTTTGCGGTGACCATCCAGAGTACTATTATTAATAAGTTCATTAGTTGAAAATAACACTAAAGTATTAATTAAATTAAATGATTAAATCATTATCATTATTAAACTAAAATTAAACTTACAGTAGATATATTTCGATAGAAAGTCTTTCCATTGGATTTGAATGGCTCGTATTTCTGAAGTAGCGTTTTTCCGTCAATTCTCCAAAGTGGTGGAAATTCTTCATCTAAATCAGCTTTCATGACAACAAATTCTCCAGACTGAAAGTTATAGTCAGAAATAAGTAAAAAAATAAATTAGAAATTAATGAAATCGAAAAATGGCCTTTAAAGTCTTTCAAACAGTCTATAAAAAAGACGAAACTAAAAAATTTTATTAGCTTATTTTAAATAAATTGTTACCCAATCATCTGCATCATTCATCGAACGCTGCATCCAATAATAAATATCGTTATTTTTAATTGAAATTAAATATGTTTTCAATTAGAATCAAATTTAAATTTATTAGTTTTAAGTTTTCGTCCATGAAGTTCATAACGTTTATGATCAACAATTGAAATGAAAGAAAATATTTTTCTTGACAAAAACAATAAAACGTTTTGTTTTGTTTTGTTTACAAATTTCTCTTTTTAATATTGATTAATTATTTATTATTAATCGATTACTATCAACAATTCGCGCGCGGCTGACTTCTCACTAACTTTTTTAATAAAAATTAGCAATTTTAAAAATAGAACGTAAAAATTTTTAATTCAAATTTTTTTTTATAAAAATAAAATATGAATTGGAATATATAATTTTAATATAAAATTCTGAATTTTGTGTCTTTTTTGTTTGACTCATAAACTATAAAATTACCACAAATTCTAATACAAAACCTTCAATTTTTTTAATTTCTGACAAAAATTTCTTTTTAAATAACACAGTGCAACACATAAAATGTGCACTAAGTTTTGACTTCAGTTTCTGAAAGTACTTATCGAAACTAGCAAAAACCTATTTCAGTTTTGCTAGATTAGCTCGGATTTAAATTTTATCGACATTTGAATTTTCACATTTTTCAGTTTTCTGATACGGGCTGATGGGAACACTGGCTATAAAAAGTTTATTAAAAAAATTCGCAATGGTCAAAATTTGAAAAGCAATAATCCCTCTTTAATTAGAAAGAAAGAAAACAAAATTTGGTCGAAAATTGTTCCAGTTACGAATTTTTTTTGGCTTGTTTACATTTTTTGGTTTTATGAAACGGGCGGGTGAGAAAGCTGGCTATTAAAAGATTATAAAAAAAATTCGTAGTGGTAATCATTTGAAGAGCAATAATTCGTCTTTAATTTCTGACTTTAAAAAAAAAATTTGGTCAAAAATTGTTCGAGTTATGAATTTTTTTTGACTTTTTCACATTTTTTGGTTTTTTGATAAAGCGGGTGGAAACGCTGGCTATTAAAAGTTTATAAAAAAAATTTGCAATGGTCACCATTTGAAGAGCAGTAATTCCTCCCTATAGTTTCTGTCATTGAAAAAAAAATTTGGTCAAAAATTGTTCGAGTTATGAATTTTTTTCGTACTTTTTCAAATTTTTTTTATTTTTGATCTGGGCGGGTGAGAACGCTGGTTATTAAATTTTTCTTTTTTAAAAACGCAATGGTCACATTTTGCAGAGCAATAATTCTTCTTTAATTTCTTTCAAAGAAAAAAAATTTGGTCAAAAATTGTTCTAATTATGCTTTTTTTTTTACTTTTTCACATTTTTCGATTTTTGATACGGGCGGGTGGGAACGCTGGCTATTAAAAATAAATTTAAAAAATTCACAACGGTCAAATTTTAAAATGTAATAATCCTTCTTTAATTTCTGATAAAAGAAAAAAAATTGGTAGAAAATTATTCGTGTTATTTATTCATTTCTGTACATTTGTATACCCGCAGTCCTGTGCAACCGAGGGTTTTGATTTTTTTTAAATTTTTTCGAAACCAAATATTTCGAATCAAATATTTTATCTTGAGCAGAAATTAAATAGGGATTATTGCTCTTTAAATTGTGCCCATTACGAATTCTTTTTATAAATTTATAATATTCAGTATTCCCACTTCCGTTATCAGAAAACCGAAAATTAAAAAAAAAGTAAAAAAAATTAATAACTTGAACAATTTTTGACCAAATTTTTTTTCTTGGGCAGAAATTAAAGACGGATTAATGCTCTTTAAATTGTGATCATTCGAAATTTTTTTATAAATTTTTAATAGCCTGCGTTCCCACCCGCCTGATCAAAAAATTGAAAAATGTGAAAAAGTCAAAAAAAAATTCATAACTCGAACAATTTTCGACCAAATTTTTTTTTCAATGTCAGAAATTAGGTTGGAATTACTGCTCTTCAAATGGTGACCATTGCGAATTTTTTTTATAAACTTCTAATAGCCAGCGTTTCCACCCGCTTTATCAAAAAACCGAAAAATGTGAAAAAGTCAAAAGAAAATTCATAACTCGAACAATTTTTGACCAAATTTTTTTTTCTTTATCAGAATTTAAAGAGCGATTATTGCTTTTTAAATTATGACAATTGGGAATTTTGTGTAATAAACTTTTAATAGATAGCGTTCCCACCCTCTCGTATTAGAAAAACCGAAAAATTTGAAAAATTACAAAAAAAAATTCATAACTCAAATAATTTTCGACCAAATTTTTTTTCAATGTCAGAAATTAAAGAGGAATTATTGCTCTTCAAATGGTGACCACTGCGAAATCTTTTTTAATAATCTTTTAATAGCCAGCTTTCTCACCCGCCCTTTTCATAAAACCAAAAAATGTAAAAAAGCCAAAAAAAAATTCGTAACTGGAACAATTTTCGACCAAATTTTTTTTCTTTCTCTGTAATTAAAGCGGGATTATGGCTTTTCAAATTTTGACCATTGCGAATTTTTTTAATAAACTTTTTATAGCCAGTGTTCCCATCAGCCCGTATCAGAAAACTGAAAAATGTGAAAATTAAAAAAAAATTCAAATGTCGATAAAATTCAAATCCGAGCTAATCTAGCAAAACTGAAATAGGTTTTTGCTAGTTTTGATAAGTACTTTCAGAAACTGAAGTCAAAACTTAGTGCACATTCGATGACCTCAAAAATGTTGCACTGTGTAACTTAAATCTTGAACAACTATCATAAAATAAATAAAATTGATTTATTTATTTCATTTAAACGGGTTAATTTTACTTAAATATTTCAAAATTAATTCAATTTCAAAAGAGTTGCGTTTATAATTTTCATAAATAAATGAACTTATAACGGTTTCAATTTGTGATTTTATAAAATTTTAATGTTGAATGACTTTAATTAGAAATTTTTATGAACTTAGATTTTTAAAAAATGTTAATAATTCAAAATCTTTTAAAATTAGTTAAATTAGTCAACATATATTTAATTGATTATTAAAAATAATGGATTTGTAGAAGAATTTTAGTTGAAAACATTAAAAAAAATTGAATTTTGAAGAAGTTACAAATGATTGCAGAAATTCAATTATTTTCAAAAGTAATAAAATTCTAATTACAAAATTCAATTATGTTCAAAATTTACAAAAAAATCTCGACAAAATCCCAATTATTATCTTTATAAATAAAAAAATTCTTCTTCAAAATTCAATTATTTTTAAAAAAATTAATAAAATTCTTGTAAAAATTTCAATTATTTTCAAAAATTTTCCTAAATTTCAATGATTTTCAATAGGTATTTACTATTTTAATAAAATTACCCAAAAGAATTCACTTAATTAAAAACAATTTTAATAAAATTGTACGCAAACATTTCATTATTTTCATAAATAATAAAAATTTCACAGGAATTAAATTATTTACAAATTATTTTCAGATATAATAAAACTCATCGCAGAATTTCAATTATTTTTAATACAATTTTAATCGAATTCCTTGAAAAATGTAACTATTCTGAAAAATTATATTAAAATTCGTTAAAAGAATTTAATTATTTAAAAATTTGTTAATAAAATTTTTTATATGAATTAAATTTTACGAAACATTCAATTATTCAATAAATAATTTACTTTTGTATTGAAATAATTGAATTCTCGTAAATTTTCTAATAAAGCTTGATTTGAAAATGAATTTTAGTTTAAATTTTAGATAATAATTGAATATGAAAATAATTTTGAAGAAGTTACAGTAACAACTGGTAACAATATTCTTATAATGTAAAATAATGATTTTAGCACTTGGTCCTCTTTAATTATTATAAAACATGAAGAAATCGATCACTCCGAGTCTTCAACTCGGAGCAATCGCTATCTTCATGTTTTATAACAATATTTTAAAAATTGATTAATTTCAAAAAGGTTTGAATTTAAAATTTTTGAAAATCTTAATTTCTATGGAAAAATAATAATTTTATTATACCTAAAACATGAAAAAATACCTACATATTTTCGATTTGTCAAACAATATTTTTTAAAGAAAAAAAAAAAAAAAATAACAAAAGCATACACAAAAACTAACTTCAAACTGCGGACAGAATGAATGAAAGAATACGGAGATTAATATATAATTAATATATAATATTAATATATAATTGAAAGTTTAAATAAAAAAGTATTTTTTCTAAATGTTGATTATATAAACGTTGTGAACGTCACCAGTGTTAATTTCCCGTGTGTGAATTAACAATAATAAATGAAGTATAATTGACACAAACCTTAAATGGTGAAATATCTATATCTTCATCACTGACAGCAGCTAGTGATTTTTCATCACTTCTGGAAGAATTTTTATGGCTATTCGAATGTCGTGAGTGTACATCGTGTTTCTTCCTTCCGCTCTTCTTGGGAACGGACAAATCACCAGATGAATATCCATCCTCATCCATAACTTTTCGCGATCTTTTACTAATTACAGGTCTGCCTCGTTTTTTCCGCTTGTCCTCCTCATCGCCAGCAAGTTTCGCGGCCGGAGTCCAGGCCGGATCAGAGTCTGAATCACCCAATTCCTCATCATTATCATAGTAATCAATGCCTTGCTGTTGATCCAGTAGTTTTTTCACAGACGACTTTTCCTTCGCTTTTCGTCGCGTTGTTTCCCGTCTTGGTGGTAATGCCAAGGAATTCGCTGAAAGGGAAAAAATCCAGAAAATATTAATAAAATACAATCCCTCCTCTATATTCTGATAATAACGTTAATTCTAAGTTTTTGTAAATTTCAATTATTTTCAAAATTTTTTTTTTAATTCTGTTACATATTTGATAATAAAAACACGATTATTTTCGAAAAATTGTAACAAAACTAAATAAAATATAATTTCAATAAAATTGGACGAAATTTACAATTGTTTTAATTTCGGGAATTCAAAAAACAAGAATTGTAATTCAGAGTTTTCAAAAAATTATATTATTAATAGGTATATTATAATATTAATTCTAACGAAGAATTTTATTATTTATGACAATAATAGATTTCTCGCCAAAAAAAAATTTATTTAAAATTTGTGGAAATACTAATTTAATTATTTAAAAAAAATTCAATTTCTATTTGAATTAAATAAATAATTCAATTATTGACAAGAATTTCATTAAAATTTTGGATAATAATTTAATTTATTCGAGAAATTTTACTTAAATTCATACAGAAAATAATTGAATTTTCGCGATGCACTTCTTTATTATTTACGAAAATAAAAAAATAATAAAATTTGTAAAAATACAAATTCAATTGTTTCGAAGAAAATTAAAATTCTTTCGTGTAATTTTAATATAAAAATTTTTGAAAATAATTGAATTCTCCCCAAAAAACTTTATTACTTACAAATATAATTGAATTCTTGCCAAGAATTAAATATCAAAATTTTCGATAATAATTAAATTCATTCGAGAAATTTTATTAAATTTATAATGAGAATAATTTAATTTTTGCGAAGCAATTTATTATTTTTATGAAAATAATAAAATTTGTAAAAATACAAATTGAATTGTTTCAAAGAAAATTTAAATTCTTTTAAAGAATTTAATTAAAATTTTATTGAAAGTAATTGAATTCTAAACAATTTTATCAAAATTCTTTAAAATAATTGAATTTCTCCCAAAAATTTTATTACTTATAAAAATAATTGAATTCTTGACTAGAATTGCACTAAAATTTGTAATTTATTTCAAAGAAAATTAAAAATCATTAGATTAATTTAATTAAAATTGTTTTTAAAATGAGTACATTGAATTTTTATAAAGAATTGTATCAAAACTTTTGTAAATAGATTAAATTATTTCGATGATTTTAATTTAAATTGCATTGGATAATATTAAATTTCCGCGAAGAATTATATTATTTATGAAAATAATTGAAATGTTGTAAAGAATATTAATACAATTTTTAAATACTTTCTAATAAAATAAAAAAAAAAATTTTTTAATTATTCAAAAATTGAACTTGATTTTTGAAAATAAGTGTTTGAAATTTGACTAATAATAATAAATTAAATAAATTTACTAATTTTCAGAAATTCTTTTGATAATTGAATTATTAAAAAAAACACAAGTTGACAAGAAATAATACAGTTTAATATTGAATTATTTTAAATTCGAAATTTAATTTAACAAAAGTTTGATAATTCAAATAACTTCAAGAAAAATTCAGAAAAATTTATAATTCTTTAGAAAAAAAGATTTGACTGTAATAATTTTTCGCACTTTTGAAAATCAAGACCCTTTGGACACGGAAACGTTTATGTCCTCCACATAACGTCTTAAAAACGTTTTTAGAATATTGGATGTTCTGAAGCCGTTATGTAGCGGACATGAAACGTTTTAGGAACGTTTCTAGAACAAAGACGTTTCCGTGTCCAGAGAGAGATAAGTTGCATTTTATACGACAAAACTAGTATTTTGCTACAATGTATCGAAAAAAATGCGAAATAGTCGCATTTTTCGTAAATAAACAGAAAAAATAGACTTTTTTTAAAACAGTCGAAAAAATCGTCTGATTTGAAAATAGTCGAAAAAATTCTCTTTTTTTTTGAAAATAATCGAAAAAAGTCGAAAGGCCTTAGAAAATAATAAAAGAAGTTAAGTGTACCAGTTTTTTTCGTTTTCGTCACTATCGGAATTCCAGCTGCAGCAGCCGCAGCAGCAGCGGCAGCCGCTTTTCTCTTCCTATCAGTCGGACCTCCAGGTTTAATAGGTCTTCCTTTCTTCGCCTTGACCTCACTTTTCGGAACATTCGAACCTCCACCAGTAGCAGTAGCACCACCAGCACTTGCATTCGTAGCAGCAGCAGTAGCAGCAATATTATTATTCTTCTTCTCACTTTTCTTCATACTAAACGGAAAATCATCATCACTACTAAATCCCCCATCACTAGAATCGAAATTCTTATTCTTCCTCTCCTTTGGTAGCGGAAAATACCTAGGATCATTCGCATAGTCAATCTGCGGTATCTCCTTCATTTTCTGACTCTGACTCTTGTAACCATCCCCATTCATTCCTCCCTCACTCGTTCTTATCACCGGTTCCGGAGGAATATACGGTTTCGATCTATTCCAAGACGCTTTTCTCCCACTTTTCAACGAATTCTCCGGCGATGGATCCCTGTCTCCCTGTAGAAACTTGAGGTAACTCGTCATAAAACCCGTGTTGGGTTCTTTTCCCCTTTTCGGATCGTTGACATTTTGATTATTTGTCATCATTTCGTCCTGTTGTAAAAATCCGAGTTCTTCCTCAATGTCGGGAACTATTACTTTTGGTTTATCATCACGAAGTTCGGGATAGTGGGTGGTTTGTGGTTCTCCGAGAGCGAGTGGCGGGAGATTTTCGACAAATTCGTGGGGATGATGATTGGGAGAGATGTGAAAAGTGGGAAAATAGGTGAGAGGGGGAGTATGATGGGTGATCAGTGATTGATGGGGTGGATTGGGGACGAAATTCGTCGAGTGTAATGGTGCTTGGGTGGGAAAGGAACTTGAGGGGAACATTTTCGAGTGTGGGGGTGGTAAATTCCATCGTTCGAATTCGAAATAACCGTTTTGTTGCTGATTATTAGTGTTAAGATGGGCTGGAGGTGGGATTCGGTTTAAGTACTCTGTGACCACGGCGCCGGAGGGACTTTCGTTCTTTTCTTTCTTTTTCTTTGTCGGTGATTCTGTTTTTCGTCGCTCGTCGATTTGTTTTACTTGATCAATGCTCGAAGCGGTGACAACAGACGGAGAAGCTTGTTGACAGACAGTTTGGAGATTTTTGACAATGCTCATGGGATCTCCTCGGCAGCTGCTTAAGTCCTGCAGGGGGAGTTGAGAGGCGTCGAAGTAATTTTGCTGTCGTTCTGGTAGAGTAGTGACTCGGTGGGTCTCGTGCAGACCAGGGAGTTGGTTCGAGCTGGTTTCGTAGGAATCGTATTTTCTAGGAGCACGATTTTCACTCTCCCAGTTGCAGATCTGTTGCTTTTGGAAGACAGAGTCCTGTCGCTCTAAGGTTTGTCTCTCGAAGGTTTTTTCCGCGTTGTAAGTTTTGATTTCGTTGGCGCCTAGGGCTCGAGTGATGACTGAAGAGTAGGCCACTTGACTCTGGGGGGACGGTCTCGGGACGGTGACATCCAAGGGCGATGGCGGAGTTATTTGTTGTTGTAGTCCGGTTTTGTAGGGCGGAGCTCCGCTGTTGCTGTCGTTGTGCTGCTGAAGGGGCGACGGAGAGGAAATGGTTGCCATCGGACTGTTGTACATTGGATAAGCGGGACTTGGCACGTGACCCAAGGGACTAGCCTGTGAGTGCGCTTGAAGGGGACTCGGTCTCCTGGGGACGACAACTCCGCAGTCTGGTCCATTTTGAGTGGAGGTGTTGGACGAGTAGGCGCTGTCGGTAGAGGCCGTGGATTTTGATCTTCCAGGATGGTGGTACTCCGAATCGCTCGTCGAACCCGCCGAGTAGTGTCTGTAGGGAGTTGTCGATTCGAAATGAACTTGTTGATTCAAAACGTGAAATTGTTGATTATGAAGATTTCCTGTCCTCTGGGGAATCTTGTTACTCCCATTATTACAACCAGAGTTCGTATAGTTAATGTTTCTCGAATCCATAATGGAGAAACTGATCGGCGACGATTGACTATTTTCATGTTGCTCATTGCGATTGGTAACCTCACTATAAATTTTTCCTTTCGTTTGATTTGCCTGCTGAGATGTAGTTTTGTTTTGCAGAGAGAAATTGGTTCTCTGTTTTTCATTAGCTGATCTTGCCGCAGAGTTGATAAAAATAGTTGACGGTGCTGTTCGCGAAGTTGAGACAATGCAAGACTGATGGGGCAAAGGTGTTTGAACTTTGGCAGAAGGCTGATTGTTGTTGGTTGAATAATTATTCGAAAGTGTATCGGAACTGTAATTGGTTGGTAATTGATGGAAAAATGTTTGTGCAGAAGTGACTGTGGATTTAATGGAAGAGACGGGGGAGGGGGACCTGGTGCCTTTCTTGTCGTAATTTGTCCCGGAGACAATGGGGGAATTTAGATTATTAATTGGTTGTCCACTTACAAAATGAGTATTGAAGGAATTATCGTAGGTTGAGACAGACTTTGTGGAGGGTGGTCCTGGAGATGAGGAAACGCTTTCGTGTGGCAGAATGCCAAAAGGACTGGGTAGTTGTGAATTATTTTGATGAGTCCATGCCAAAGTGGAAGCAGTTGGCGATGTAGAGGATGTTTGATGTTCGAAAAAGTTTGATTGATGTGCGGCACTGTAATTTTCTCTGAGATTTGAAATATCACTTTCGGGAGAAGTTTGTTTAATACCAATGACGGTTTGATTTTGAGCAAGTACTTGTCTGTGTTGAGTGGCATAGTGGGCTTGTTTCGAATTGCTGTGGTGGAATAAAGGTGAGAAGACATCGTAACTCGCAGGGGGTGGAGAAAGAAATCCCCCTGGATTAAAAGGTGATGGTTGTCCCGCCAGAGTTGCAGTTGTATGAGCCGCTTGTAAAATTAGTTGAGAAGTCGTTGCAGGAGGAGCTGCCTGACTATTCACTAAATTTTGATTAGCAAATTCACTATTTGCACTTGTTGCTTGAAAAGTACCGGCAGCACTTCCTGTACTTAGGCGGTTATACGATGTGTACCATGGACCACTGGAATCCATCACCTAATTTTGGCACTTAAGGTGCCTAATCCGGATGGTCTGCTTTTCGCATCTGACAGCCAACTATTCATCCAGTTTCTTCTGAAAAAAAAGTTTCATTAAAGAATAGCAAACACAAAAATTCACTAAATAAAAGTTTAACAATGCGACGTGGACTCGGAAAAATTAATCAATTTCCACATCTCATTGTTATACCGAAAATAGAAAATATAACAAAACTGAATTGCAAAATTTATTTTATATGTTTAATTGCAATTCGCAATTAAAAACTGAACTATTCGATCATTCAAAATTGAAAAGAATCTCCCATTAGCTCAACTTTTGATACATACCGAACCGAATAACAGAATTATAAAATTAATGTCATGTATGTGAGAATTGAGAAACAAGTTTCGGCACCAAACCATGTATTAGAAGATTCGCGATCAGGAAGGTCAGCGTCTTTCGAGATCTTGCCTCCTGGTGATTGAGACATGACGAACTGAAAGAAGTATATAATATAAAATTAAACTAAATGTTTACCTTAATTTTTGACTGTAGGCGCTGTTGTGGCTCATTTAATGTGAATATTAAGAAACATGGATCAACTTTTTATCGAATATATCAGAGAAATATGGCCACAGATCGGCGAATCGACACTTTACACTCGGAACAAAGATAAAAAAAAATCAAAACCGCAAGTCTTTTAAAACTCTCCAGTTTTCTCACGAATCATATTATATGTATTGAAGAATCTTTCAACTACGTTAAATTAAATTTATACAAATCTCTTATTCGAGAAAATTTGCTAACAAATATAATATGCACCACCACTGTCCATTATAGGCCGCCATTTTGAATTAAATCAACAATAGAAAAGCGCCACCTGTTGATTGTTAAACTAAAATGGCGCTAATTTTTAAAGAAAACATTTTTAATATAGAAAAAAAATTAACAATAATTTTAGTATATTTATAAATATAATTTTTATTGAAATAATGATGTAAAAACATGTTTTTAATAAATTTAAAAATACGTAATACTAATTACTTCTAACACAAATTGTAATTATAAATAGAATGATAATTAAAATTATATTAAAAGCGGTGATATTAACAAACTATGAAGACAGACTTGAATTCTAAACTGTAATTGTATGATAAGTCACAAATTCCATTCACGTAAGAAAATATTACAATTATTTGAATACACATTCACAGTAAATTACATTGTAGATATTACAGACATACAGTAAAATATTCTTTCCTTTTTTTCTATACGGATAAAGTGAATATATAAAAAGAAAATTAAAAAATAGTTTTCTGTAATTGCATTTTATTTTATTTTATTAATTTAAATAATTATAAAACATTACACACACTTTGATTTTTTTTTAATATTGAGAAATTTTAACGTAACAATTTTTTTGTATTACAAGTGATAACAATTTTTCTATTTTGAAGTTTTCTAAACGATTTACATATCGAATTTATATATACATAACATCCTTCTTTAATATTCAAAAATTGCGAAATAATTAAATTAACATATCACGAAAACCGAGATTCCCGATTTATTTGCATTGTGGTTCTTTAAAATAGGAGAGTAATATCAAATAATAAATAAGCAATTTCTACCTGAAGGGAAGGGATTTTCTTATAACATGCGTACTATCTATGTATCTCACTTTGGTTTTTTTTAATGATATTTGCGCCCTAAATTTACATTCTTCAATTACGGTAACATTTTTTGTAAAACTTAATATACATTCATTCATATTTATTTTGTTTTCATTTTAAATTTTTAAAAAAATTAAATTTGAAATGTATTCAATGACGGCTACCTCATATGCATTTTTCGTTGTTGCCAAACAGCAAATTTCTTGTAGGCTGCATTCAAAAGTTGATTTAAATGACTCGTTAAATGTTGACTAACTGCTGAGAATTCTCTCTGCATACGATCCTATAAAAATTGATTCTTTTTTGGCACTAATCAATTTTATTGATAAAAAAAATATTTGATATGGATTATGGAATTTACCTCAAATGGTTTGAGTTTTGCAGAATGAAACCTTTGAAGTGCCTCGTGCATACGAACGGCTTTATCTTCCAATTGAGGTGTTGTTGGTGGGAAACTTCTCCAAAAATGCTTAAGAAGTTCGCAAAGGCAAACGTAGACGTTGCGCAATTCTTTTTCTAAGTCTTTTGGTATTAGTTCTATGAAAAAGGAATTTCATTCTTTTAGAAGAAAATAATTATTGTAAATAATAAATAATTATCATAAATCAAATTCTATTTAGAAATAAAGTTACAATTTGCAAAAAATGATTCTTGAAAATTGCTTGTCATTCAAAGTAAATATGCAAAGTGAAAATTAATGAAACTTACGTCCGAGACTTTCTTCTCTAAAACCTTTCATTAAAGCTCCTCCGGGAGTCAGTTCTCCAAGAGCCAACACTGCTGCTCCTGGACTAACTAAAGTTTTCGAGTCTTGTCGCGGTAAATTGGTATTATTTCCCCATTTTGTTGTTTCTATCCTCATTTGATTTAATATTATTGGTATTTCTTTTTGATGAACTCCAAATTTTTCACTTCCCGGCACTGGTCCATGCAAATATCTATCGATTTGCGTTAATTTAAGAGGCATTACATTGTTTGTCTGTACGTCACAGCTCGTATCCAAATCATCGTATAATAATTTCTCCTGTATCCTGAGCTGTAGGACAAATAAAGGACAAATTAAAAATAAATAAGGAATAAATTAAGAACAAATGAAAAGAAAATTTTACTTTTCAGTAATACTTTTGACTCAGGGTTGCCACAAAAATTTAACTTTGTTTTTCCCCGACTTTTCCCTGATTTCCAGACAGAATTTTGACTTTTTCCCTCACCCTAAAGAATATTCTGATTCGCTCTAAAAATTATTAGATACTGAGAAAAATTTCTTTCATTGGAAAATTATTCGAAAATATCAATAACAATAATTAAATTTTAAATTCAAACCTTTTTTTTTTATAATAATGCTCTTGATACCTATTAAATTATTATCTAAAATTTTAACCGAAATTCATTTTTACATTAATTTTTCTTGAAAAATTTTACAAGAATTCAATTCTTTAAATACAAAATTAAATAATTTATTGAATAATTAAATGTTTCTTAAAATTTAATTTTTACGAAGAATTTTATTAACAACTTTTGAAAATAATTAATTTCTTTTAAGAAATTTAATTAAAATTTACTGAAATTTATTGAATTAAAGAATTTTATAACAATTTTTGAAAATAATAAACTGAAAACTTTTTCAAGAATTTTATTAAATTTTTTAAAAATACTTGAATTCCTGAGAAGATTTTAAATAATAATTTATGAAAATAATTGAATTCATGCGAAGAATTTTATTAAATTTTAAAGTTGAAAGAAGTTAACAATTTTTCCGAATTTAAATTTATTAAATTTTGTTTAAATAATTGAAATTTTGCCAAGAATTTTATTAAAATTTTTGACAATAATTGAATTCTTGAGAAGAATTTCGCTACCCATTTGTAAAGAAAATTTTAAAAAATTTTGAAAATAATTTAATCTCTTCATTTATAGTATTTTATTACTTTTCAGAAGAAATGAATACTTGTGACGAATTTTGATATTTATCAAAATAATTGACCTTTGGAAAAGAATTTTATTAAAATTCCTTAAAATAATTGATTTTATTGGGAGAATTTTGTTGTTTATCTAGTTAATTGAATTACTTAAAAATTTGTGGAAATAATTGATTTCCTGCGACGAATTAAAAGTTATTTATGAAAATAATTGAATTATTGCAACGAATTTTATTATTTTATTGAATAATTGAATGTTTCTTAAAATTGAACTCTTTCGGCAAGTTTTAATACAATTTTTAAGAATAATTGCATTTATCGAGGAATTTATTTAAAACTGTATGAAAAATATTTGAAATTCGGAGATGAAAATAATTGAATTCCTAAATGATATTTTATTATTTATAAAAATTATTGAATGTTTTTGTAGAATTAATTGTATCAAACATTTTTTTCAATAATTAAATTATTTGATCAATTTCATAAAAATAGTAAAATATTGAAAATCATTGAAAAAAAACGTTAACATTTTTATAATTGAATTTCTTCGAAGAATTTTATTACTTTTGAAAATAATTGAATTCTTGTGATGAATATTATTATTTTTTAAAAATAATTGAATTTAGCAAAGAATTTTTCTAAAATTCCTAAAAATAAATGAATTTTTGTGAAGGATTTTGTTATTTATCAACATAATTGCGTTAAAACTTTTGAAATAATTAAATAATATTAAAAAATTCATTCTGTGACAACCTGTGACTGAATATAAACAGAATTATTAAAAAACAAACCTTTTTAGTCTTTGGTTCGTCTAGATTATCATTTGTAGTGGGATGTTTACTCGCCGAAGAAGCGGATCCATTTAATTGTGGTTCGTTTGAATTTGTTGAAGATTTGGCAGTGCTAGCTTTCATGACCATAATGCTGTGTTGATTAAATCTTTTGATCATATTTTGATGTACAATATTACCAGAAGGCTTGTCTGCCTTTCCCACTTCACTACCGTAATTTTCATCTAAATTTTTATCCTCAAAAGAGGTGATATCCAGCAAGGGATCATTGATTCCCGTTTGAATGTCTTTCTTCATTTCTTGATCATCTATTTTGGCACACTCGGTGAATAGATCCTTGGTCCCTGCATTGATACGATCTCGATGAAAATAATGCGATTGAAAAAATTTCATCCAAAATTCTGATTCCTTCATTTTATTAGGCACATTTTCCTGGTGCTTTCTTTTAACAGCTGGATAGGTTTTAAATATACACTCTATTATATCGGTGGTTAAATTATATTTGAATCCATTGCATCCGTCAGCTTGTGGTTTGATATCGGCCTGAAATTTTATTAAAATTAGTTATATTAATTATATATTTCTTTTATCAAACATTTTCAAAATTGGTTTCAACTCACAAGAAAGGCGCCATTTACACCAATTTCTTGTTGTTGGACCTTTTTTGCCTGCATGTATTCGACGGCATGCTGTGCCCAAAATTCTTCAGACGAAACTACTTGAGTGATTACTAAATCGCGATATAATTGTAATAAAGATGGATTTTCTTGAAGTAACCTAAAAATAGTCGAGTGATAATTATAAAGTGTATCAATCTTTTTTAATTGATTTTTTATGTGCAATGAAAATCCTATTTACCTATTCTTTTCTTCTAGTTCTTTATTGACTTTCTTTTTGAATTTCGGTAGTAATTGTTGCAGCAATTCCTTCACATCGTCACGATCTTTGATTTGTGCTTCTTGGCCATTTTTATTTACAAAATGAAAAGTCGATGATTGTCCGTCATGTAAAACTACTTGCAGTTGAATTTTCGATTTCCCCTCGGGAGAGATTTTTTGCACTGAACATGAATAAATTATTTATAAAACAAATTTTGAATATAAGTTTAAATTTTAAATATTTGAAAAGAAATATGCAATAAAAAATAAATACAGTAAAAAATAAATTCAGTAAAAAATAAATACAATGAAAAATAAATTCAGTAAAAAATAAATACAATTACAAATTAAAATTAGAATAAGAAACATAGAAATATATAAATAAATAAACTTACGTTTAATGTCACCATATTTATGACTGACAGATACTTTGTTGCTTTTTTCTAGCATAAAAGCTATTCTTTCGTTCATCACATATAAAGTGCCATCTCCTTTTTTATAACGGACCTGTCCTACTTGCATAAGAACATCTTCCGATGATGTGGTCATGGTGGACGAGTTTTTTTAACAAGATTTATCTACAAATAAAAATCATCCAATTTGTATAATCAATTTGAAACTATTTAAAAGTTTTACGAAGAAAGAATTAATATACAGTTTGTCTGAAAAATTGCATTTCTCCAATATACCTGTCAATTTTCGTTTTTTCAAAAAAATTTCAACTTTTATACGAAGAATACGAACTCATTTAATTTTCATTTTTTTGCAGATTGAAAAATGTTTCAATTCAAAGCTTTCGGCTAACTAGTGTATAGTCAATAAATTAGGCGTTAAAAAACTAGTTTCTCAGGTAGAGTTAACTTTGTACATTGAGTCGATTTTGTAATATTACTTTTAATTACGCAATGCAAGCAATGCTTTCAAACTTTCTTTGTTCGTCATAAATAGGTATAATCTCAATGTTCATTGTACCTTAAAAAAATGAATTTTTGAATTTAAAAAATAATCAGTTTCCATTACAAAAGAAAAATATTCCAGCAGGAAAATATGCCCCCCACATTAATTAACATTGAGAGTATTTTACAATGACAGATATTTTGAAAAAAGCACACTAAATATATATTAAGAAATAAGACGTTTCTACAAAAAAAAACACACGCCACTACCTTTAAAATAAATATTTCAAACGAAAAAATTCAAATTTTTCATACAGAAATACACTGATTAAAGTTAAGAAAAAATTATTTCAGTATTTTAGTATAAAATAATATTATAAGCACTTTTTATTTTTCAGTGTCCTTGAATATAAAAAAACTATTTTTTAAATGGTTAAATAAAATTAGCAAATAATATTTACAATACAGAAATTTGAGGAAAGAATTGTTAAAAAAAACAATATACACATTCTCATAGGTAATAGGTCTCATAAATCGGTAATCCGACACTGAAATGGTTATTATAGTTAGTCTACATTAATTTTTAATCGTTTTTCATTATTTTCCTGCGATTGCCGGCTCAGTTTTCTTTATTTAACGGCTAATCGCAGTATTCTTATTGAATTTGAACTAAATTAATGATGAAAAATTGTTATTTACCAGTAGAAAAGTGGAGAAAATTATAGAAGGACATTCGTCGCTCGACTCGGCCACCATATGCAGAACACATCGTGTCGTGTCGGATGGACGCATCTCGAATTGTCGACGACTACCACGACTACCGACGTTGTCGGCAACCAGAAACAACATCGACCTGTCTGACTAAAAAAAAAAACACTGCTAGTCAAATCAGCAATTCTCAAACTTCCTGTAAGTTGACAATTCAAGTCAGGTAATTATTTAATGTTTCTTTGTAAAATTTTATCTTATTTTGTCTTCATTTCAAAACATTATCAATTTTCTCCATTTGGATGATTTTTGTCATTTATATTTAATATCTATTTATGTGAAATGGAACATAATATTTGAATACAAGTTTATTTTTGATTGAAAGCGCGCTTTCACTTCCGGTTCAAAGTTTATAGGTTAAAACGAGAGGGCACTGCAATCAGTACTTATTTATTAATTAAACAAAAATATTATAATAGTTAATTAACAATTCAAGAGAAGGAAAACAGTGTCATGTCATTCTTATGTATATTACTAAGCTATAAAGAGCAGGATAAAATATAATTCTTTATTTTAAATTATATTTAATAAACGATATAAACCAGGTGGAATAAGTAAATTTGGAACTCAAATAAAATTTTTTATATATATTATATATAATATAATAATTAGGATATTATTGGCTATTTTAGAAACTCATTTTCTAAATAATTAAAAATTTATATATATTTATGTCGCAGCCTATTGTAAACAAAAACAAAAGAGAAAATCAAATTGAAATTCTTTTTTTTAATTAAATTATCGTCGACTCGTTTTCACTCGTTTTATAACCTCAAAATTTTCGAAATCATGAATGACAAATTTTCAGTCAGAAAACGCAATCAAACTAATATTCTCTATTAATTATCCGAATAGAAAAACGAAAATGATTTCAAGAACGTTTTTATCTCCCTCTGAAGGTGTAAATATTTCATTATTCAATATACTTATTTTTTAATAATGAATAATTTTGCCTAATATTATTTCTACGCTTTCGGTGCTCTGTGGAAATTGTTTCATAGACATAGACAAAAAATTAAAATGAAATTTATAAAAATAATCGTTAATATAAAAATAAAATTTTTCTGCAGAGTTTCTTAACGACATTGATTCACTTGCAAGGAAAACATTACTGAACAGTAAGCTAAAGTCAATACTTAATAATCTTTGATTGACGTCTGGCGAGATAGAGGAGGCATATATATTGTTGCCATAGTAATAGTCGTGTTCGTTTGAGGACAGAATGAGTTTATCACGCGAGAATGTAAAGTTAAATGAAATATAACTATAGTTAAGACATAATGTTGATGTGAAATGTGTAAAACTTTTGCATGCACGCACCTATTGTAAATATAGATATAGTTTTTCACTCAATTGCGTATACAATCCTAACGTCTTTTTATCAATTCAGACCAAACTTTTTAGCCGCTCCCCCCGATTTTCATTATTATTATTACATCAACTTTTAATTTATCAGAAGATTAATTACCCAGACTTCGCACTCGATAATTAATTTTAAAAAAGTAGCAAAAAGTAGTTTTCAAACTAAAAATAGTAGTAAAAAGGTAGCTTATGAAAAATTAAACTTGATGACCAAAAAAATCGTCTTAGAAATTTCACAAAACTGACAAAAATTCCATTCTATATTTTATTTCCCTGACTTTTTCCTAATTTTCATCAAAAATATTTTATGCTAATTCTAATTTCAATCGAATTCCTGAGAAATTTTTATTATTAATAAAAAAATTAAATTCTTACGAAGATTTTATTAAAATTTTTAAAAAGAATTGAATTTCTGCGAAAAAGTTTGTTATTTTTTAAAATAATTGGATTTTTCATAAGAATTTTATAAACATTGTTTCAAATAATTAATTTTTTCGAAATATAATACATAAATATTATAACAATTTTATTTTAAATAATTGAACTCTTGTCGAAAACTTTATTTTTGAAAATAACTGAATTTTTCGATTAATTAATTCAACATAGTATTACAAATAATTGAAATTCTTCGATGAGTTTTATAATTTATGAAAATAATTGAATTCTTGCTTATAGAATTTTATCAAAAATTTATTTTAAAAATCGAATTTCCATGAAAAATTTTATTATTAGTGAAAGTAATTGAATTATTGTGAAGAATTGTATAACAATTTTGTTAAATAATTGATTTTTTTTGGGAATTTTTTTGAAAATGTTATTCTAAATTAATTGAATTCCTGTGGAAATTTTAATATTTATGAAAATAATCTAAAATTAAATTAATTTAAATTAGATTAAATTTTCTGACTTTATCACTCGGTAGTCTTAATTATAAATAAAACTTTTATCACTCCAAGTCAAAATTGACTCGGAGTGATTGTTACCCTCAAAGTTTTATTTAAATAATTTAAATTTGATTGAGAATTAAAAAAGATGTTTAAAAAAATTGTCAAGAGCAGGAAGCAGTATGTTTTGGATCCAAATGTCCTCGAGATATGTTCACCAGAAAAGGGATGAATTCTTTCATGAAATACTATTCCAAAGACGAATATCCAAATATTTCACCATGCAGTTATAATGTTCTTGAATCGTATAAAAGTATTCATACTAAGGTATGATTTATCAAGAAAAAAACAATAGATTATTGCAAATTAGATAAATTATTGTAATCTAATTGGAAGAATAAATTTAGCCATGTTTAGGTGCCATAAGTAAAAGAGGTTTCAGTGGTCCAGCGAGATTTGCGATTAATTCCAAATCTTGTGAGAAATCACCAGCTCCTTGTGATTACAGTCCAACAATTAAATTTTCATCTGACAAGATAGAATCAAAAGCTCCATTTTCCAGTTCATCGAGGAGAAAATCCTTTTTGATGAATAAAAATCCAGGGTAAGAATATACTTTTTTTTCAGTTGACAATTTCTAAAATAGAAATATACATTTCGATTAAAATATTATTTCTATTAAAAATTAGTTTCCATTAAGTATTTGTTTCTATTGAAGCTAAAATAAGAAAATAAAAAATTTTTTTTTAACAGACCTGGTTTGTATAATCCTTATGAGAAAGAACGAAGTATAGCCTTCAATCACAGTTTCGGTGGACGAAAGAAAATCCAATTTCCAGTTGAAATAAAATGTTGTAGCCAAAATAATGACACTTGTAAAATCTGCGAGGAAAAACCTTTAGGAGATTACTGGCATCGAAAAAATAAAGTTTTCCTCTGCAGACAGTGCATGTTGGAAGAGCAGAAGAATCATTCGAAATTCACAAGGAAGGAACTTTCTCAATTTTCCGTAATTTTCCTTTTTCAATTCCATTAAGAATTTAACAAGTTAGAAGAAAATTAAATAGAAATTAAATAAAATTAAAAGAGAAATAAATAAAATTTAAAAAAATATAGAATAAAGTAATAAAAATAAATAAATAAAATGAAATAAATAAGAAATAAAAAACAAATGAAATAGAAATTAAATAGAAAATTTAATTCTAGAAACTGCGGGACTGCTCTGGAATACATTTACACGAAGGAACCACTGCAAAAATTTGGTTGGTCCATCCAAAACAAATTATAAAGTCTGTTCGTAAAGAGGCTTACCTCTCGTGCTTTTTCGAATCTAATTTTCGATAAATCTTGGTTGTCTTGGTAACGTACATTTAAAAGAATTTACTATATATTTATCCAGTTTTCCACTTTTCATTAATAAAAGTTATAAATATTAATGAAACCTACTTTTATACTTTTATAATACGTGACGCTCTCCAGAGAAATGAATTGTAGATGATTGTATTTTTTATTGTGAACAATAGGATCAACTGTCAAGACTGTCAATATAAACCATTGTTCCAAGTCTTCATTAAATCCAAAATATTCGATAAAAACTGATTTTAGTTTTAAATTTTATTAAACACAGAAGGTTTTAATTTTTAATTATAAGGTGAAAATGACACAAACATAACCCAGACTTCGCACTCGATAATTAATTTTAAAAAAGTAGCAAAAAGTAACTTTCAAACTTAAAAAAGTAGTAAAAAAGTATCCATTGAAAAATTAAACTTGATGACCAAAAATAGTTTTATTATTCATGATAAAGAATTTAAATAGGTATTTAAGCATAAAAATAATTTAATTCTTGCGAAGAATTTTATACAATTTTTTAAATAATTGATTTCTTTCGACTAATTTTATGCAAATTCTAATTTAAATAATTAAATTCTTGAGAAATTTTTATTATTTTATGAAAATAATTAAATTCTTACGAAGATTTTTAGAAAAATTTTTTTAAATAAATAATTGAATTCTGTTTGGAAATTATATGAAAATAGTAGATATTGAAAATCAATAAATTGCGAAAAGTTTTTAAAAATAATTAAATTTCACAAAGAATTGTATTAAAAATTTTAAGAATAATTGAATGTCCTTGTGGCATTTTATTACATTTTTTTGAAAATAATTTAATTCCTATAAAATTCCTGCGAACGATTTTATTAAATTTTTTTAAAATAATTGAATTTTCAAGAAAAAATGTATTACTTTTAAAAATAATTGAATTCTTGTGATGAATATATTGTTATTTATAAAAGTAATTGAATTTTCCAAACAATTTTATTAAAATCCCTCAAAATAATTGAATTTTCGGGAATAATTCTCTTATTTATCGACATAATTGAATTCTTTCGAAGAATTATTTATAATTGAATTCGTGGGAAGAACTTTATTAAAATCGAAAAGAATAATTGAATTTTAAAAAAATTTAATTAAAATTGTGTTTAAAATAATTGATTTCTTTCGAACAATTTTATTAAAATATTTGAAAATAATAAATTTAATTCCTGTGAAAAATTCTAATATTTTTGTAAATAATTGAATTCTTCTAAAGAATTTTAAAAAAAACATTATTTTAAATAAATTCTTTTTTAATGGAATCGAAATTAAATTTTTAAGGATAATTACATTTTTTTGAGCAATTCCTGTAAAATTGTACATATTAAAAATAATTTAAATCCTGCGATAAATTTTATTATTTATGAAAATAATTGCATAGTTGTAAAGAATTTTATTAAAATTTTCAAAAATGAGTGAATTCCTGAGAAGAATTTTATTAGGGGAGAGTCTCCAGTTGTGAGACAGCTCCAGTTGTGAGACAGTCAATTTTTTTTAACATGCAATATTAAAAAGACGATTGGTTTATATAAAAACATTTCTTTTTATATGATCCAACTTTTTCGTGTACGCCGAAGCGGATATATAAACTGTTTTTGTTAAATAACCAACACTGTGTGTGATAATTGACTAAAAAGCGTTTTTTCAATAAATGCAAAGTACTTTTTTTCCAAGTTAATTAATTGGAAAAGGTAAATGTAATGCATTTTCTTTTAGTGTTTTCCTTATATTTTGTGATGCAATATTGCATTGTTCCAATCTACGGTTGAAAATAATTTAATTTTCCTTTTTCAAAATAGCGCCAATTTCTGGGTGTGAGACACAGCATATCACCAGTTGTGAGACGGTGTCAACACCCATCTGGGCAGCATAAAAAATACGACTTTGCAGGCATACTATTTAAATGTTGTTTTGATTTTTTTTCTAGTATTTTTGGGCATGTCAAGTGGAAAAAAACAATTGATTCAGAAGAAATCAATTTTAATGTTCTTGTTGAAGCTATTAAACTGTGCTTATTTGATAGTCATATTTTGGCGAATAAATATTATTATTTAGTATATAATAATATATATTATTAATATATTTAATTATTTCTACTACACATAACGTTTTATGTCAAACTGATTCAATTTTAGCAATTTTTAATGAGTGTCTCACAACTGGAGACATTTTTTTTTTTTTTGAAAAAAGCGATGTGCTCGGAAAATGTATCGTAAAATTTTTTGAGTTCATCGAAACACTATACTTTCTTTTAATAAAAGTTGCGTATTTCTGTCACCTTTCGAACGGTGTATTTTATTTACAATTTCGTTTACCCGTTTACAATTTACAGGTCAAAAATGAAACCCGTCTCACAACTGGAGACTCTCCCCTATTTATGAAAATAATTGAATTATTGCGAAAAAATTTATTAAATGTTTAAAAAGAATTGAATTTCTGTGAAAAATTTGGTTATTTTTAAAAATAGTTGAATTCTTGTGGAAAACTTTATTTGTGAAAATAATTGAATTTTTCGATTAATTAATTCAACATAGTATTACAAATAATTGAAAGTCTTCGATGAGTTTTATTATTTATAAAAATAATTGAATTCTTCCTTAGAATTTTATCAAACATTTTTTTAAAAAATTGAATTTCCATGAAAAATGTTATTAGTGAAAGTAATTGAATTGTTGTGAAGAACAGTATTAAAATTTTGTGAAATAATTGATTTTTTTGAAAATGCTATTCCAAATTAATTGAATTTCTGTGGAATTTCCTGATGAGCTGTGTTTGACAGCGAAAATGCATTAGATAGAAATAAAATTATTTTCAATTAAATTATTTCTTAAAAATCAACACCTTACTTTTACGGACCAAAGGCCACAAAATCTTAAAAAGTTTATATATAAAAATTAAGGTCCTAAAAATAGAAAAAGAATTATTTATGAAAATTGAATTTTGGATGAATTTGATCAATTTTCTTTGTAAATAATTGAAATGTTTTTCGAAATTTTATGAAAATAATTGAATCGTTTTAAAGAATTTGATTATAATTTTTTAGAATAGTTTTTTTATTTCTAGTATTAACGAAATTAAAGTAGTGTAAATTTTCAAAAAAAGAACAGAAATAGTAGCTTTTAGTGGCTGAAATCTAAAAAGGGAACCAAATAGTAGCATATAACGTAAAAAAAGTAATAAATAGTAAGTTTTAGTAGATGAGTGCGAAGCCTGAAAACCTTAAAATGAGCGCGTCATAAATACAAAGCTTCCTCGAGAGGAAACAAAATTAGAACAATTATTCTTTTAATTCACATTCTGGTAATTATACAAACGACATATTGCTCATAACATGTAATTATTTATATTCAACTAATATTACAATAAGCCACTTTATAGATACCTTTATTCGTTATATTTTGAGCGTATATTTAAATACATATATTGTATAAAAATATCGACATGTTACACGTAGAAGTGTATACATAATTATTAATTATATTTTATAACGTAATTTGAAAACGACAAATAGATTACTCATCTGATATTTTTTACGTATACATGGTATATCAGTCGTTATTAAGAAAGAACACTTTTTTAGAGATAGAATTTTGTAAAAATTTGCAAGTTTTTCTACAAAACTCGCACGCAATTTGAGAAATTCACTTTTAAAATAGGATATACAATTGAAAAAGCATTTTTATAGTTATATAGTAAAGAAATTAAACTTTACAATAAAGGCCATAATGTCAATTTTCTCTTTTGCATTTGATTTGCGGCGTGAAAAATTGTAAAGTCTAATATTTTTACCATCAAAATGCTTATTTCTGAAACTTTTCCCTAAATATTTTTATTAATGTTTTCGTATACATTTTTTTGTGGTTGTGAAATTTAATATTTTCACGGATAAAATTTCACCATTTGACACTTTTCTCTAAAAAAAAAAAAAAAAGTCATTGTAACTTTGTAACGTCATAAAAAATATTAAACAAGTTTTTTCAATAACCTATATACGCAATTTTGCATATATTCTGTAATGTAATTTTAATTCTTGCTGCTTTAGTTGACGAATATAAAACAATCTTCTTTAAGTAACACTGTCTTCTTAATATTTTACAATAAAAAAAATAATTTTTATAGCTATATTAAAAAGGCTTAACATTTCTTCTAGCTTTAAAAATTAAAAGTTTAAGGAAGAATCCGCAACTGACATATCAAAACCGTCAAAACAAAAGTTTACTAAAGTTGACAAAAGTGACAGAGTGACACAAAAGCATGAACTTCGTATTTTTTTACAGAAAAGAAAAAATTTTAAATTCTTGTTACAGAAAGGGTGTGAAATTTAATTTCCAACGCTTCGAACAAATAAAAGTTGCATTTGAATAAATTTACAATTTTTTGTCAATAAGAAATATTTGTTAAATTTTACGTTATGTTACTAAAAATGTCCCTTATTGTCAACACTGTAATTTATTTAAACGCAACTTTTAATTGTTGATTAATGTTGAAAATTTCTTCGGATTCTTCCTTAATATTACTTAGTATGAATTAACTGGAAAAAAAAATCTGATTCCATACTATTTCGACAAGTGAATTTAAGTTTAAAATTCTAAAAACTAGAAATTTTATAAAATAATAATAATACGGTAAGAACATAATATTTTTTTCCAGTTATTATATACATATTTTTCAAATGTGTCATGAAACTTAAATTAAGTAAAAAAAATGTGTAATGATATAGTTAACGATGAAAAATAACTTCATATGGACGATTAATGTAAATATGTAAATATTATCAGGAAGTTTAAAAAATTTCTTTAATATCAATATCACGCACAGTGCAGAATGAAATTGTTAAATTATGATCGATTTTTAAATTCAAAAGCATAATGACGTTTTGTACTTTAATAGGATTATTTATCTCTTGTCGAAAATAATGAAAAATGCTCTTTTGATGAATATATATATATATAAATTTGACATGAATCAAATTTAACAATTATTTTCACTATTATAGTCTTTAAGAATTTTTTCATTATTAAACTACTAGTTTACGTTATTATCATATAATTAAAAAAATGTAGCTAAAAAAACAAATATAGTTGCATTCTTTAGGCTCTGAAGTCTGAATATTCTGAATTAATGTCATATTCGTATGTTTAATTTTTATAGACAAAAATCGTATTAAAAAATTATAATTCTAGAATAATTTAGTATAAATAATATTAATTAACGATCTGAAATTGACTTTTTTTAAATCTAAATATGATAAAAAAACGAATATTATAAAATTTCATTATCATTAAAGATAAAAATTATTACAGCATCAATATTTCTCTACTCATAATCCTCATAATCAAATTAGAAAAGTTGACTTAGAAAATGTTGCACTTAAATTAGACAATTTGTGACAATTTAATTCACAAACATGAGTGCGAAGTTTACAAAGTTTACTATCAACGATTGAAAGAAAAAATATTTTTTACTTAGACGTAAAATTTCGTAAAATATTTTTTACGTTTACAAATTTTTCTTTTAGTAGATCAATATGTAAAGAAAAATTTCCGTAGAAAATGATTTTTTCTTTTAGTTGATTATAAAAGTTTGTAAACATCACCAACGTGATATTTAAATTATGACGCGATCAGGAGCAAAAAGATTGTTGTTTGTAGTGACAATACAGAAAAAGGATCAATAATATTAATGATTATTTCACAGTACATCGGAAATATTCAATAAAAACTGTTTTCGATTTAATGTAATTACATAAATCGGAACTTTAAAATAAATATAACAAATTCATTTGCTTCTAGATCGCGTCAATTATTCTTTATCTTCAATGTTTTTGAATTTAAAAGAAATTAAATAAATAAAATACACAATTTATAAAAATATGAAAGTATTTCTTAAATCTAAAAAATTAAAAATTTGAAAGTTTGTGTTTCTTACTCAACCTTTTGTCAGACTCTTCGATAGGATTCCCGCCATCGGGTGCTTGTCGTGAAATAGTCGATGTTGATGTTTCTGAACTGGTCAATGTATTTTCTTCATCGTCTGTTTCCGATTGTTTCTCAGTGAATTTTTCCATGGACACAGAACTGATGACAGATTCTGAACTATTACTCGCCATGAGGTCGTCAATGCAGGGTCTATGAATCACAGTAATATCAATATTTCCATCCACATCCTCAGAGACGCTTGTTGGTATCGATCGAAATACTTCCGAATTTTCACTCTCGAATAAACACTTTTGCTTTTGACTATTATTGTCACTGAAGGCGTTCTTCTCCATCATTTTTCTTAATCTACTTAATCCACTATTGATTGCCGCATTAAAAGTCTCGGTGTATCTATTGTCCAGCTGTTGAACTGCCTCGCCATCGGGAGTTGTATTTCTGTTCTGAACGTCTTGAGTGACGGAACAACTAAACGAATTGGGACTCAGTTGAACGTCTGGGAGTAAATGCTGATATAAAAGAGGATTAAAAACGTTTTCCGTATCCTTGTGGCGTACGTTTGTCGCCATTAAATGAGCAGAGAGTTCGTCAAATTCAACAGAATCGTTTCCTTCCTCTTCCTCTTGGGATAATTCCTGTCTGATTACGTTTGACACTTTATTTTTGTTCTCTGAGTTTGTTGTTGTTTGTTTAGTACAATTTGTCACTGATTCTGTTTTTTCATCGGAACTTTCTTCGGTTGTTTTATTAGGTATTTGCTCATCACTCAAAAAGTGTGGTTCTTGAGAATGTCCCACTCCGTTATCTTGAATTCTTCTTGCTTCTTGACTTCTATTGAAGTGATTGCTCCTGCCGTTTTGAAAATAATTATTGTTATTGCACTGTAAATTGCTTAATAGGTCCATAATGTTAATTTTCATTGGAAGCGTATCCATTGGAATCGGTGGTGGAACATTGAGTTGTGAGGCAAGTTTATCAAGAAGATGATTCACGTGCATTTTAGTGCCTTTTATAGGATGTTCCTCCTCGCGATCAGAGGAATTTGCGCTGTACGGATTCGAGCAATCTAAAAAATAATTTGTCGATTGATTATTGTAGCAAGTCGAATATCCAGTATCGGAGAAATTTGAATCCACTGCCATTGTATTTGTTGCACTTGACGAACAGAGATTTCGAGATTCACTGGAAGAAGACGGATTTTTGTCTTGATAAGATGTTGTATTTACGTCCATGGAAAGATTTGTAGTTACGCCCATGGAGAGAATTGTATTTGAAGTTGGAGGAAGAACAGAAGTGGATATTTCTTTTGGGTTGACAGATTTGGAAGGAGAACGAAAGTTCTCCACTAATGCTCCATTAGACTCTGGTTCGTCGATTTGATCATTCATTTCGAAATCGTTTTCGAAATCATCTTCAAAAGCATTTTCTGTCACATCATGTAAACGTGATTGAAGTCGTTTGGTAATTTCATCCAATTCCGTCAATTTTTGTCTGTAAGCAAACAATTTTTTTACATAAAACAATTCATTTTCATTCTTTTTCTTTAAATCGTTACTGATAGAATAAAATACTAGATTTTAATTTACTTACTTTAAAGAAGAAGAGAGAAGAGAGAGTGACGCGTCTCCAAATCCAATTCCAATGTCAGGCATAGTTTCTTCAAAAGGCGGATAGTTGAAATTCACTGCATTTGGAAGTTTAGAGTCGTCAATTCTATTAAAATCGTTATTAAATAAACGCATTGTTTTTGGACGAGGCGAAGATTCATTTGAATTGTTTGATTGGCAAGGTTCGGACGGCAACTTTATTTGACTTGACGACGAAGTAGATTTTCCAAAAGAAGATATACTTTCCAAAGGAGTTATGCTCACCTAATAATTAATATTAGTTAGTAACGTTCATTAGCAATCGATTTATTAATTATATTATTACTAGCAAATAATACGCGCGCCATGATTACAGATTTTAAATTTAAAGAATTCACTTATTAAGTACATAATATTAAATATTCTTGTTTATTATTATTCATAAATTTTAATAAAATTTTAAAGAAGAATTTCATTATTCTCATAAATAATAAAATTCCTCCAAAGAATACAATTATTTTTTTAAATATTAATTAAATTCGATTATTTTTAAGAGTTTTAATAAAAATCCTATTTTTAACAATTCTGATAAAAAATTCTTCCAAACAATTCAATTATTTTTTTAAAAAACAAAATTCTTTTGAAAAATTCAATTATTTTTAATACAATTATAATTAAATTTCTAGGAAAAAATTCAATTATATTCAAGATAATTTTAATAAAATTTCTCTAACAGGTTCAATTATTTTTAAAAATTGTAATAAAATTTTTCTAAACAATGCAATTATTGTTCTCAAAAGTTTTTAATAAAATTCTTTGTAAATTTCAATTATTTTCAAAATTTTCAATTAAAATAATACTTTAAAAAATTACATTATTTTAACGAAATTTAATGAAATTCTTAAAAATAATTTAATTATTTACAAAAACTGTAATAAAATTGTTTAAAAGAATTTAATTTTCTGTAAATAATTTTAATATAATTTAATAGGAAAATCGTTAATTACAATTAATAATAAACACGATTATTTTAAAAACTTAAAAGAAATGCTTCTTAAAATTTAATTATTTTCAGAATTTTCAGTAAAAATTATTTTAAAAAAACTTCATTATTTTCAAGAATATTGAAATAAATTTTTCAAAATAATTCAATTATTTTAAAGAATTTTAATAAAAATCTTTCCAAGAATTAAATTATTTTCAATACAGTTTTAATTGCATTTTCTCGAAAGAATTCAATTATTGAAAAAAATGTTGATAAAATTCTTGAAATGAATTCAATTATTTTCAAATTTTTTTATATATAAATACTTTACAAGAATTCAATGATTTTCAGTGCATCGACAATTTAATTATTACTAAAAATAATTGAATTCTTGAATAGAATTTTATAACTTTTTTAAATAATTGAATCCCTGTGAAAAAATTTATTATTTCTACAAATAATTGAATTTTTGCAAAATTTAAAAAAATAAGTGAATTTTTGAGAAGAATTTCATTAAAATTGTATTTAAAATAATTGAATTCTTAAATTGAATTTTATATTAAAATTTTCAAATAATTAAACTCCAGTGAAAAATTCAATTATTTTTTAAAATGATTGAATTTTTCGAAGAAATTAATTGAAATTGTATTGAAAATAAGTGAATCCTGATAAGTATTTTATTATTTATATAAAAATAATTGAATTTTTTAAGAAAATTTTTATTATTTATAAATTGGCTTTTTGCAAAGAATTTTATAACAATTATTGAAAATAATTGAATTCCTGATAAAATTCAATTACATTAAAAATTTTCAGTAAAAATTATTTTAAAAAAACTTCACTATTTTCAAGACTACTGAAATAAATTGTTTCTTCAAAACAATTTTAATTACATCTTTTTGAAAGAATTCAATTATGAAAAAACAGTTGATAAAATTCTTGAATAGAATTGAATTATTTAAAATTTTTTTAAAAAATACTCTACAGGAATTCAATGATTTTCATTAGACATTAATTTTAAAATTGAAAATACCTATTTAAAAAGAAAAATTATTAAAAAAGGTAAGAAACAAAAAAGCAAACATCAACTAACTTGAAACTGCAAACAGATTACCGGAATACAACGATTATTAATATTGAAGATAGTTGGAAGATTATAAATTTAATTTAAATTATAAAGTTTTACTTTGTTATATTTACCTTTATTTGCCCATTGCATTTTCCCGTAAAATCTATAATATGAAACCATCCAGTTACAAGAGGAAATCCAGCAAGCAAAACAGAAAGATCAATCGCAGCAAAACCGATAACTACATCTCTGTCTAAATCAATAGCGCTGCAAGTATCTGGTTCTAACAGTCGCCAAACTTTAAATATCAACTTCTTCTCATCCTAAAGTAGAAAAATTTATTATTACTAATAAAATATTTATTATATTGATTATTTTATTGCTTATTTTATTGATTACTTATTTTACTGGTAAAGGACTTACGTTAGTCAAAAGATCAACTGCTAATTTCGTATCACATCTCCACTCCCATCTAGGATTGCAGGTCCGGGGAGAAACATTTGTTTTCGTATAAGAATTGTATTGTCTTTCGTTTGGACTCGAAACTCCTTGGAAAGTAACGTAAGTACTTGGCTCCACGGTTGCATTGGCCTTCTCTACCTTTGGCAAATGCAAAGCACATTCAATCTCCACCACAGCTCGGAAAGATAATTCCTCGTCAGATTCCATTTGTTCGTTGCTCGAAGGATTCAAAATTCCCGAAATTTCAGTTGTTGTTTCACTGAAATTATTACTTAAACCTTGAGTGGAATAATCATCGAATTCAGCCCCAACTCCAACGCTTCTGTACATATCGGTTGAAATATTGAAATTTGTCTTCGAACTTCGATTACTGCTGTCATCGGATAAAATAATTGATATCGGATCTAAAGTTGTGGGTTCAACTTCAATTCTTTGTTCTTCTTCTTGACTAGGGCCGCTGAATTTCTCCGTTTGCGAAGCTTGATTTGTATTTGTTCTTGAAACATGGAGGGCTTGTGCGAGACAATCGACAATTGAATGTAAAACTTTGCTTTGATTTTTTAACGAATCGTTGGAAGATTCGACATTTATTACGTGTTCACGAGTTGAAAATTCCGTTTGGCATTCTTCATTTCGAGAGGAAATGCAGGGTGTTACTTGCACTTCAACTTCGGAGCTCTCTCGAATTACTGGAGAATTTTCAAGAGGTCTAGGAATAGTTTCTTCGTTTCGTGATGGATTACTGATGGAATCGCGAATACCTCTTGTCATTTCTAAGAGGGCAATTTGATCGGCTGTGCCAAGGGCCACAAGGCCTAGTAGCTGACCCTTATTTTGACCGGTCACGGGATCTTTAATCAAAATCCAACCATCCACACTGATCACTGGATACTGAAAAACAATAATAATAAACTGCAATAAACAAACATTTCTTGACTTTTGATAATTTGTGACATAAAATGAACCATAAAAGTTTAAACTTCTCTTTAACTTTTCATAATTTAAGAGTAATATTCTAAATTCAAACTTCGCACTCGATAATTAATTTTAAAAAAGTAGCAAAAAGTAGTTTTCAAATTAAAAAAAAAGTAATAAAAAACTAGCTATCGAACAATTAAACTTGACGACCAAAAAACTCATTTTAGACACTTCAAAAAACTAACAAAAATTCCATTCTAAATTTTATTTTCCTTACTCTTTTGTCATTTTTTTTCTTATCCTGCTAATAAATTGAATTCCTGCAACGAATTTTATTATTCATGAAGGAATTCCAATATTTATAAAAATAATTTAATTCTTGCCAAGAATTTTATAAAATTTTTTTAAATATTGATTTCTTTCGACTAATTTAATGCAAGTTATGATTATTTAAATAAGAATTTAATTCGTGAGAAATTTTTTATTATTCTTGAAAATAATTAAATTCTTACGAAGATTTTTACAAAAATTTTTTAAATAAGTAATTGAATTCTGTTTGGAAATTACTTATAAAAAAAATTGTAGATATTGAAAATCATTAAATTGCGAAAAGTTTTTAAAAATAATTAAATTTCACAATGAATAATTGTATTAAAATTTTTGAGAATAATTGAATGTCCGTGTGGCATTTTATTAAATTTTTTTTGAAAATAATTGAATTCCTATAAAATTTCTGCGAACGATTTTATTAGAATTTTTTAAAATAATTGAATTTTCAAGAAAAAATATTACTTTTAAAAATAATTCAATTCTTGAGATAAATATTGTTATGTATTTATGAAAATAATTGAATTCTTTATAAATTTCAGTTTTATTAAATTGCCTCAAAATTAGAGCTGTGCAAAATAATTCGAACTGAACTGTTCGAATTTTTTCGCCAAGTTCGAATGTCGGTTTTTCGACATTTGAACTAGCCCAGTTCGGATGTCGAATATTCGACATTCGACATTTCAGCGCCCCAAAACCGAACTAATCTCGGTTCGGTTCGAATTTTGCACAGCTCTACTCAAAATAATTGAATTTTCGGGAATAATTTTGTTATTTATTATTTATTTATTTTCTGTTTAGAAATTTTATGAAAATAGTAGATATTGAAAATCATTAAATTGCGAAAAGTTTTTAAAAATAATTAAATTTTACAAAGAATTCTATTAAAATTTTTTACAATAATTAAATGTCTGTGTGGTATTTTATTAATTTTTTTTTTAAATAATTGAATTCCTAAAAAGCTTGTTATTTATGACAATAATTGAATTTTTGCGAACGATTTTATTAGAATTTTTTTAAATAATTGAATTTTCAAGAAAAAATTTATTACTTTTAAAAATAATTAAATTCTTGTGATGAATATTGTTATTTAAAAAAATATTTGAATTTTGCAAAGAATTTTATTAAAATGCCTTAAAATAATAAAATTTTTGGGAATAATTTTGTTATTTATCGAAATAATTGAATTCTTTCTAAGAATTATTTATGTAAATAATTGAATTCTTGGGAAGAATTTTATTAAAATCTAAAAGAATCCTAATTAAATTATTTAAAAAAAAATGTATTGGATTTCTGTGAAAAATTCTAATATTTTTGTAAATAATTGAATTCTTCCAAAGAATTAAAAAAAACATTTTTTTAAATAATTAAATTTTTAAGAATACTTATATTTTTTGGGCAATTCCTATAAAATTTTATTAGAAATAATTGAAATCCTACGATGAATTTTATTATTTATGAAAATTATTGAATTGTTGCTAAGAATTTTATTAAAATTTTCAAAAACAAATGAATTCCTGAGAAGAATTTTGTTATTTATGAAAATAATTGAATCATTGCGAAAAATTGTATTAAAATGTTTAAAAAGAATTGAATTTCTGTAAAAAATTTTGTTATTTTCGAAAATAATTAAATTCTTAATAAGAATTCTATGAACATTGTTTTAAATCATTTATTTTTTCGAAATATAATAAATATTATCAGGGTAGCCGCAAGATTGACTTTATAAATTTCCCTGACATAACAACGAATTTCCATGACAAAAATTTTTTTGTTTAGAGCAAAAAAAGTATTGCATGACCATTTTAATTTCTTTAATTGCCCTGACAAAAAAATTTTCCTGACATTTCCCCGACTTTACTGACAAAAAATTTTTTTTTCCTGACATTTCCCTGACTTTACTGACATGTGGCCACCCTGATTATGAAAATTTTAATTTAAAGAATTAAATTCTTGTGGAAAAATTTATTTCTGAAAATAATTGAATTTTTCGATTAATTAATTTAAAATAATTGAAATTCTTCGATGAGTTTTATTATTTAGGAAAATATTTGAATTCTTGCTTAGAATTTTATCAAAATTTTTTCAAAAAATTGAATTTCCATGAATAATGTTATTATTAGTGAAAGTAATTGAATTAATGTGAAGAAATTCTATATAAATTTTGTTAAATAATTGATTTTTTCGAAATTTGTTTGAAAATGCTATTCTAAATTAATTCAATTCCTGTGGAAATTTTATTATTTATGAACATAATTGAATTTTGAATGAATTTTATCAATTTTTTTTAATTAATTGAATTCTTTTGCGAAATTTTATGAAAATACTCGATATTGAAAATCATTGAGTTTCGAATATTTTTTTAGAATAATTGAATCGTTTTACAGAATTTGATTATAATTTTTGAGAATAGTTTTCGATTTCTAGTATTAGCAAATTTAAAGTAGTGGAAATTCTCTAAAAAAAACAGAAATAGTAGATTTAGTGGCTGAAATCTAAAAAAAAGTACCCAAATAGTAGCATAACGTAAAAAAAGTAATTAAATAGTAGGTTTTAGTAGATGAGTGCGGAGCGTTGTAAATTTCGAAAGTGCCTACCTTTGATAATAGTAAATACGGCAAAACGTGAGAGTCTCGATAAGCAACGTATAATTGATGTATAGGAAATTTGGCAATTCCTATCAGATTATCCTCCCCCGTAGAAGTTTTGCTGTACACCTCCGTGACAATGAAATTATCTTTCGTCCTTTCAAGTAAATCCGAACCGTGAATAAGAGGTACCAGCTGTAAATATACAGGGAATTAATAAGTCACAGTTTAAATAATTTATTTTAAGATAAATTTTAAGCAGGGATGGCAACCAAAATTTTATCGGTTTCGGTTTCCTCTTTTGGGTATTCTTCTAAAAAAAATTCGGTTTCGGTATTTCGGTTACGGTTTTTTTTTCAAAGAATTAGGGTTTCTGTATTTGGGTTTCGGTTTTTAAAGTGAATAATTACGGTTACGGTTTCTTGTTTTCGGTTTCTTAAAAATTTAGGTTTTTTGAATTAAAGGTTTCGGTTTTTCGTTTGCTTTCCCCGGACAATAAATAAAGAAAAATATTTGTGTGCATTTTAATTACTTAGAATGAAATATGAGTATTAATTACTCATAATTTATTTATAAAGTTGTTTTATATTTTATAAGATGGCCATAGCGTTGTCAAGGAAAAACTAAAATTTTTTTGAAAGAACGTTTTTCTCCCTAACTTCTACATTATTTGACCTAATTCGCTAAAAATTGGTACACTAGTGTATTTTTACAGGCTGATCACAAATAATTAATTGAACAAAATTTTTTTCTAATTTATTTTCAAAAAAAAAAAAAAAAAAATTAATTATTTGTAATTTGCAAATTTGGTTCGTCTACCTATTATTTACAATATTAGACATACCATACTTAAACATTTCTTTTTAATTTATTTTTTTGTATCAAAAGATTTTAATATTGGTGTACGGAACCCGTTATTTCAATGTGAATGCAACACCACACTTGTTCAATTTTTAGTTCTATTCAGTTTTACTTTTATATTAAAAACCGAAAAAAATAAATTTAGGTTTTGAAATAAAGGGTTTTACATTTTTATAATACGGGTTTCGGTTTACGGTTTTCTGTTTCAGATAATTTTTTTTTCGGTTACGGTTTCTAGTTTTCGGTTTTTTAAAAATTTCTGTTTTTTCGGTTAACGGTTTCGGTTATCGGTTTCGGTTGCCATCCCTGATTTTAAGTTTATACTCACTTGATGAAAATTATATAGAGGATTTTTCGTATTTGTGCAAATGCGACTCATGGCTCTGTCTTCTTTCCAAAAAGCTCGACAAATAATATATGAGTTTAATTCAGATAAACCTCTACCCTCCGATATGTATATTAAGCCATGTAAAAGAACCTAAATAAGTCCCGAAGATTAATTAGAAAATTACTTCAATTTTAACTATACTTATTCAAAAATCGCTTTAATTTGAACTATTCTTATTAATAAAAACAAATTAAAATAAATAAAAACGAATTTACCTTTTCATCATATTTACTATTCGGAATCAAGATTTCCATGTTTCTGTCTTCTCCATTTTTCTGCCTTTCTCCAGATAAACTTCTTTCATTATTCGTTAGTGAATTACTTCCATTGCTGATGGTATCAATTCTTCTGGATGATGCAGAAGAAACTCCACTGTTTGAATTTGAATGAGTTCCAGTCACAGTCTTGAAATTCGGGTTCTTTGTCGAAAGGGGAGAGAAGGATTCCCTCACAGGAATATTCTCTTTTCCAGATGTCACGGCATCTGATTAAAAAATACAGAAAAATTAGTTTCACAAAAAAGTAAATATTGCACTTCGCGAAGTTTACAGAGAAAGAAAAAAGAGAAACTCACCGATAAATTCTTTGCCAAAATGAATGCCATCACAGCCTAATGCAACAGCAACTTCTAATTCGCCAACTTTAATTCCTTTATTAATAATAGCAACTCGTTGTGTCATGCTTAAATTTTTTGTCGCAAACACATCATTCACATGCATTGTACCAATTCCCAATAAAGTTGGAGATCTTTGATTCAAGTGTCTATGAAAGACTTTGAATTTTAGTGGACTATTAGTATAGGCGAAGTTTTTTGATATATTGTACACACCTTGGTGATAAAATAGAATTTCTGTAAAACAAGAACAAAAATTAACATAAAATCAATTTCTCGTAATTGTTTATTCAAAACTAAATTTTTTTTTTAATTTAGTACATTTTTATACTCTTATAAAAAATAAAAACAGGGTTTCCACAGGTCAGAAAAATCAGAGATAAGTCAGAGAATTTTATTAAATGTACTGGAAAAAATTAAATCTTTAAAATTCATTAGAAAATTCTGAATTTTGGTCTAGAAACCTTTGAAAATATTAAAAATTAATTCTTCTTAAATTTATTTTTGTTTACTTAATAAACTTTAAATCTACAACAAAAAAAACTTACATTTTTTTTATTTTTGTCAATGTTTTAACTATACAGAATATGAAATTTAATTTATTTCAAACAATTAAATTTCTGAAGAGGTATTTATAAAATTATTACTTATAAATTGTTTAATAAGTAATTTTACATAAATTAATTCACATAATTTCAAAAAGAATTAAATTTTAAAAAGTTTTAATTTGAAATTTTGGAAAATTTAAATTTTTAAAGAATTTAATTAATAAATTTTTTAAAATTTCTTTGCAATAATTCAATTATTTTTATAAATAATAAAATTTTTACGTGGATTTAATTATATTTATAAATATAATAAAATTCTTTTAAGAAATTCAATTATTTTCATAAACAACAAAAAACTCATCGCATAATTTTAATTATTTTTAATACAATTTTAATCAAATTCCTCGAAAAATTTAATTATTCAATAAATTATTTATTTTTGTATTTAAATAATTGAATTTTGCAAAGTTTTCTAATTAAAATCTTTGAAAATCTGAATTTTTCATACATGTAATTAAAAATTATGTAGAATTAATTTTTTTGAAAAAATTTAATTGAAATTTCTTTGTATAATTATTTGAAGTGTTTATTTTCTAATTTATGTTTAATTGAAGAATTTCCAAATAATCAAAATTTTAAAAATTCTCAAAAAACTTTTTCAAAAATTATCAAAAATAATTTATTTAAAGAAGAAAAGGCTTCGTACTCCATAATTAATTTTAAAAAAGTAGCAAAAAGTAGCTATCGAAAAATTAAACTCGACGACTCAATTTTTTTATAATATAATTATAATTACATTCAAAAATAAAATAATTTTTTAAAATGAAATCATTTTTTTCTTGCAAATTTTAAATAAGATTATTCAAAACTTTGATCATTTTATTTTATTCAATTCTAAATCAATTATTATTAGATAGTTCTACGAGAATTCAAATATTTAAATACAAAAATAAATAATGTATTGAATAAATTATATAAACTTTTTTTAAATAATTGAATTGTTTCGAAGAATTTTATTCAAATTTTTAAGAATAATTGCGTTTTTAGCGGAATTAATTTAAAATTATATTAAAAATAATTGAAATCCTAGGATGAGTTTTATTATTTATGAAAATAATTGAATTTTTGTCGCCGAACTTTAATAAAGTTTTTTAAATAATTGAATTCTTATGAAATTTTCATTATTTTCGAAACTAATGGAATGTTTGTAAAGAAATTTATCAAAATTTTTGCCTTTAGTAAATTATATTATAATAGTAGATAGTAGATTTTCAAATCTTTGAATTTGAAAATTTTTTTGAAAATAATTGAATTTCGGCGAAGAATTTTCTCATTTATAAATATATAATTGAAATCTTAACGAAAATTTTCCAACAATTTTTTTAAATAATTGAATTTTTCTGAAGAATTTTATTATTTTCGAAAATAATTGAATTTTTGGAATGAATTTTGGTCATTTATGAAAATAATTGAATTTTTCAAAGAATTTTATTATATTTTCTGAAAATAATTGAATTTCTGAAAAGAATTTTCATATTTATCAAGATAATTGAATTTTTCCCATGAATTTTAATAAAACTTTTAAGAAATTCAGCTAAGAATTCTATTAAAAATTTTGAAAACAATTGAATTGTGGAGAAGAATTTTGCTATTTATAAAAATAATTGAAATTTTGACGAAGATTTTTAAAAATTTTTTGAATATAATTGAATTTCTCTGAAGAATTTTATTACTTTTGAAAATAATTGAATTCTTGTGATAAATAATGTTATTCATGAATATAATTGAATTTTATTAAAATTCCTGAAAATAATTGAATTTCTGAAAAGAATTTCTTTATTTAGCAAGATAATTGAATTCTTTCGAAGAGGAGGAAAATTTTTTTGAAACCAATTGAAATTTCAACAAAAATTTTATTAAAATTTTGGTAAATAATTGAATTTTGGAGAAGAATTTTATTATTTATAAAGATAATTGAAATTATTTTGGAAAAACTTTTATTAAAATAATAGAATATTCAAAATCATTGAATTACGAAAAATTTGTGAAAATAATTGATTCGTTGTAAAGTATTTTATTAAAATTTTTTGAATTTTTCCAGTAACTTTATTAAAATTGGTTAAAATAATTTTTTTATTTCAACTGTTAACAAATTGAAAGTAAATTCTCAAACCTGGAAAAAAGTAGCTTTTAGTGTAACAAATAAAAAAAAGTATCCAAATAGTAGCAAATCGTAAAAAAAAGTAGTAAATAGTAGGTTTAAGTAGGTGAGTGCGAGGCCTGGAAGAATTTTAGTTAAAAATTGTAGAAAATAATAATAACTGAATTGAACTGATGAAAGTAATTTTGAAGAAGTTACAGTAAGAATAATCTTATAATAAGAAAATAATGATTCAGTAATTTTTATTTATTATAAAACATGAAGAAATCGATCATTCCGAGTCGAAGACTCGAAGTGATTGGTATCTTCATGTTTTGTAATAATATTCTTTGAAGTTTTTGAATTTGAATGTTATGAAGAATTTTAATTCCTGTGGAAAAATAAAAATGATTAAAAAGAAGTTATTAATATTTTTGAATAATTTTTAAATTAAAGAAATTCGCAAATAAAAGTACCTATTGGAACATTTTTTTTGAGTATGTAATCATTTTTAAAATGAATCAGAATATTTTTTAGAGTTAGAAAAAAAGTTAAAATTCTGCTTAGAAATCAGGGGAATGCAAAATTAAATTTTTGTGGCAACCCTGAAAAAGTTCTTGTTTAATATAAATTAATAACTTTACCTTGATCAACTTGCTTTCGAGAAGTCATTTTCACAGGTTTCCTTTCATTCATTGATTTCTTCTTCAATTGATTTGCACTCGAAATAATATCATCGTAATGAACAAAAAATGTAGCAGAAGCTGGAACACCGCTATCAGCTAAATTAATAAAATATTATTAGTATATTGAAAATGTGCAAAATATGAATATAAATATATGATTTAAATAATACCTTTCTCACGAGAAAGACAAGACGATTTCACTCTTCTGTAACCAGCCGGAGACAAAGTGAATGATCTCACAATTATTTGTAGACAATCCACATAGTCAAGCGGTACGATTTCTGTTAATAAAAAAAAGTGTATTTTGAAATTAAATGAGATTTAATAAATAGAGTATTTTTAAATTAAATCATTGAGTTAAATCTTCAATGTATTAAATAAAAGTTTACAAACCTTTTGACTTAATTTCAGAAGGAACATTTTCCTTGATAACTTTAACTTCTTGAATATCGTCTTTGATATTATTTTCCAAGTTATGCTTCATAAAAGTATTTTTACTTGTCTCAGAAGCGGGAAACTTATTACGCTGACAGCAATGAATTGATTGTGTTGCAAATTCTATTAAACTTGGCGTTGGAGAAGTTGATCTTAAAGTTTCTAGTGCTGCATGTTCATCGAAATAATTCATATCACTTCCAAGAAAATATTGATATAAATCTGCTTCTCTCTCAGGACAAACGTCGGGATGATAGTTATCATACAAAAATTTGTCAGCATCGTATACATATGAATCATCCATTAAAGCTTCTTTTAATAAAGCACTTTTCAATTTTGCTGACTTTGCATTTGGTTTATCGACAAGCTTTTCAGGAACTTCAAAGTTAAATCTTTTATTAATAGGCTCTATGAATTCTATTCTCTTATCTTTTAAAATAGATCTATAAATTGTTTCCTCCTGTTTTGCATTTTTCAATGAGGACAAATAGTCAATTTTATGACTAAAAATACCATCAGCTTGTTTATTTAAACTTCTCATATCAAAATTTACTGACTTACTGATCTCATTATTATTTTGATTATTTTCCACTTTTGACGGCATATTTTCGGTATTTGTTAACTTTATTGAAACATGTACATTGCCTATTCTACTTTGAGTTTTATTTACTATTGGAAAATAGCGAGTAAAAGGCTTTGTTTTAAAAATATCTAACAGATCGACTACATGAGCTGTCCCTAAAACTTTCTTTGTTTTCTCCGATTTGATTATAAGTTCTAAAGATTCACAATTTTTAATATAATCTTCAAAGAGATAAAAATTCGTTTTTATCGTATACGTTTTTTCTGTATCCTCAAATTTTTGTGAAATTTTCGTAACATCTAATGGCCTGAAAGAAAAATTTTAACATTGAAAGAAAAATTTTTTTTATTGAAAAAAAAAAATAATTTATACGCATTAAAAAAATTGGTGTAGTTCTGAGATTTCTGACAAATGAGTTAACCTCTACAGTTGAATTAGAGTTTAGTTTAATTTACAATTGAATGAAATTGGAAAATGTAAATATTTTACCTGAACTGTATTTCATTTTCTTCACCCCACCAGGAAACGAATACAATCACATCCCCAGGGTTTATATTGGTCCAAATGACTTCGTCAATAACAAGATTTAAGTATCCATGTATTTTACCCTCGACAAAAGGAGGTAAAGAACGATAATTGTTCACCTTTGAATCCATTTAAAACAAAAAAAAATAAACACACAAAAAGTAATTTGCCCATCAGTCATTGACTTTTGTTTACATTGAAGATAAAATATATTTTGACAACAATCAGCAAAGTAAAAGTTTTCCAGTACGCCATTTAAGGCTGATTTACACGAAAGAAAACAAAACAACAAGGGATAGACGAGTTTCTAAAAAGAAAACTTGTCCACTTTTTAATTCTTCTTTCCGGCCAATCAGTATCGTTCAATTCTTTCAGCGGGAAAATTTAACAATTTTTCTTTTCAAATGTTAAAAATTTTTAAATTAATTAAGTAAAAATAAATGAATTCTTTTTTAAAAATTTTGCAAAATTTCAATTATTTGTAGAAATAAAAAATAATTTTCGCAGGGATTCAATTATTTGAAAAAGTTTTAATAAAATTCTATTCAAGAATTTATTTATTTTCAGAAATAATTAAACTGTCAATGAAAAAAATTTGAAAATAACTGAATTCATTTCAAGAATTTTATCAATTTGGTTTTCAATAATTGAATTCTTTCGAGAAAATGTAATTAAAATTATATTAAAAATAATTTAATTCTTGGCAAAATTTATTTAAATTTTTTTTTAAATATTTGAATTGTTTTAAAGAATTTATTTTAATTTTCTTGGAAATAAAGGAGTTTTTTAAAATAATTTTTACTGAAAATATTGAAATATATATATTTGAATTTTTTTCTAGAAATGTTATTAAAATTGTATTAAAAATAATTGAATTTCTCCAAAACATTTTTTTATTTATGAAAATAATTGAATTCTTGACAAGAATTTTACAATTTTACAAAAAGAATTGAATTGTTTCAAAGAATTTTTTATCAAAATTGTTGAAAATAATTGAATTTTTATGAAAACTCTTGAAAATAATTGAATTTAAATAATATTTTTTAAAATAATTGTATTCATTTGAGAAATTTTATTAAAATTGTATTGAAAATAATTGAATTCCTCCAAAACATTTTATTATAAAAATAATTATTGAATTCCTTTGTAGAAAATTGTCCATTTATGAAAATATTTTAATTCTTGCAAAGAATTTACTTATTTATGAAAATAATTAAATTCTTGCGGAGGATTTTACAATTCATAAAAATAATTAGATTGTTTGGAAGGATTTTAACTGAATTTTTGAAAATATAACATTTTTTAATTAACAAAATAATAAGTTATTATTACTAATGCTAGTTATTGAAATAAAGTTTTTAAAAAAATATTTAGTTTAAATTAATAGAATTTGGAATTAAATAATTACTCTTGACTTTTTTTCTATAAGATTATTATTTAAAATATTATATTGTAAGACATTCTTTATCCTTTGACACATATAACTTTTCATCGATTTACAGAAATATTTACAATCTTGGAAAATTAAATATTAATCGCTGAATGTAAGCGTGAATGAGAGTATTAAAATAATATAAATCTGTGATGTATATTTTTATTATGCGCTGAAAAAAATATATTAGCACTGAAGAAAAAAAATTAAAAATAAAAATGTATGCCGACCAAACGCAAATACGAGAATTAAAAACTTTATTTTTAACGTTTTTAATGGAAGTATAAAAACTGAACTTTTAATTACTTACATTATTTACTATTTAAAACACTTTTTAATTTGTGAGAATTTGGAAAATTTCAAATTCATTTTGTTCAAACAACCATTTTTCAACAAATACTTACAGTACTTAAAATATTAACTACTGTATAAAAATATAATTAGCTTTCTTGTGCTTAAGATTTTTTTTTATAAAAATAATCTACACTTTACTTTAGAAAGTAAAATTAGTGAAATGAAAAAAGTACTCGAGTCAATATTTGGCAAACTTTTGGCAATCTAACCACTCTACTGTTCCATTTGATTAATCTGCTTTGCATAAAGTATCCTAAGACGTGTTTTCGAAAAAGGCACCTGAGAAAAAATTTTAAGTTATATTTATAATTGGAGTACAAATTATTGATCTTCAAGTCTTTACTAACATTGAAAATATTCAATAAACACTGGTTGTGAATTTACATGATTAAAAATTAACTTTTAATCAAGAATATCAAGAAAAATCGGTTTAAAGTACTCCCGGTATTTTTTTAGGTACCTTTCCTGAAGGCACGTCACTTATAGTTACACAAGAATCGGAATTGAATTTTTATATTGACTTTAAATACGCATTTCAAAGCGCATTATATTTTAAGATTGAACACCATCGACAAAAACTGTTCGTACTGAATTGTAATTACTCCATCTTGATCAGTATCAAACTGCCTAAATGCAGAAGTCAGCGTCTGAAAAACATTATTGACACTTATTATTGTAAATTTAAATTAATGAGTTAAGAAAATCAATAAATATTATATAATAAAATAAATAAAGAATTAATAATTAAATAAAAAATGAATTAATAATCTTACATAAAGGACAACACAACACTGAATAAAGTCATCGAAGTAAATTGTTCCCTTGCCGGCGCGATCATATTTTCGAATTAACATATTAATGACATCGTCATTTAATCGGTAGCCAAAGTTCGTCAAAGCAGTTTTGAGCTCATGACGATCAATATTTCCACTTCCGTCCTTATCGAATGATCGGAAACAATTCTGCCAATCGGTCACGTATTTCCAAAGAGCTCCGAACTCTTCAAAATTGACAGTTCCACTTTGTCGTCTGTCGAACATACCTGAAGAATCACCATCATTTGGATTGTCATCGGTGGATTTTTCAGAAGATTTTTGATGAGATTTATCATATTGAAACATACCTGTGTAAGCAGAACCAAGTGCGAACAAAACCATTTTAACCCCTCAATATAATTATATGTATTTTCAAGAAATTCTAGCTAATAAGATGATTTACTAAAGGCTTTCTCTTCTCCCATTTAAATTACAGTTTATCTTTTATAATACAAATGAAAATTTGAATTACGAAATAAGAAAACAATTGGAAACTTTGATTGTAAAGAAATTTTATTGTTTGAAAGACTGACGGACAGTCGAAAACAAAAGTTATTCCAATGTCGTAATTTCGTAATATTTAGATTTTGATTTTGACAGAAAAAGACAAATTAAATTTTAAATTCGTATTAAAGAATCTTATTTTCATTATTAGATTTTAATTCAATTAAGATTTCAATTCAATTTTAAACAATTACAATTTGCGTTTGAATAAAAAATATACAATTTTTTGGCAATAAGAAATATTTGAGAAATTTAAGGTTATGTTTGAATTGTGTTAAGTTATTTAAATCGTTTCTCATTGACAGAAAATTGCAGTTTTAATTGAGTTTAAAATAGGAAAAATTAAATTCTTTACCATCCCTTTAACACCAATTTAAAATTTGTCTTTTTCTGTTAAAATACGAAATTATGACAGACCATTTGTTTCGACTGTACGTCAGATTGTCCCTTAACAAGATTGAGAAATATGATATTAGTGAAAAGTGTCAATCAATTATTGCAAATTGTGTAGAAAATTTGCGTGTGTAATTAAAGAAAATTTATCTCGAAAATTTTCATCGTGCAAACTAAAATAAAAAACTACGTTTCATCAAAATTTTACCCAGTAAACAACTTTGAGCCTTTGATTAGAAAATTGTTTTGCCAGTGTCTATTGTACTCTAATTTAAAAAAAACATAAATTTTTTAAGGAGTTAAAAGATTTTGAAAAAATCATTTAAAAATGAAACTTGGTACAGTTTTTGCACACAGTAAGTTTATAGACGAAATGCCAAAGAAAACTTAATCTTAAAAAACAAATTTGCGTTTGGGAGACTAATAAAATTATTAAATTAATAAAATAATTTTTAAAAAAATTAAACTATGAGTTAAAATAATAGGGCTCAAAGTGTTAAATGTAGCGAGAGATAATGGTGGTCAAGCAAGCAGTGGTCTTCATGCGATTAAGTTTTCTTTATAAAGAATAAACAGTTATTATTTTCATGCTTTACCAATCATTAATCGAACTGTCTCGGGATTGAAAGGTGTCCATGTTCCATTAGAAAGAGCTTGTTGAAGTTCATCAGAAGTAATAGCACCCGAATGATCTCTATCGACTCTGCAATTATAATCCCATTATTCTTTATTTACTTATTTAATCGTTATCAAACAATTATTTTTATATTCAATTTTAAAAAATATATCATTGTTTTAAAGATAAGATTAAATCTTTTTTGATAATTCCTTCCTTTCTAATTTTAATTACATAGGAAGATTTCAGAACAGATCGGTAAATCTGATAGCAAATTTAAAGCAAATCTGACGTTTCCTTATTATTACAAAAATGATCCAGATAAATTGTGAAATATAAAACGGATCCGTATATGAAATTTTCAAAAGTATGGGATCCGGTAATTTATCATACAAATTGCAATTCAAGGCGATGGTTGTGCAATCTAATTAGTTAATGATGATGAGTCATCAAAACAACTGTATTTTTGAAATTTTTATTGGAAATACCTTTGAAAAACGTCCCACAAGAAATCACGATTTGGCATTTGTGAAGCGAAAGACATTTTTTGTTAGTTAAACAATAAACACTATGAATATAAACACAATCAGTGAATTATATCAATAATAGCAAAATAGTACTATTATTGCAATATACTTAATTTGTAAATTTATTTCGAAGAGTTAAAAGTTCGTTCTTTATTCACTGATAAATCCACCGCTTTGTCGCACATATGACAGATCTGAATATCTGATCATCATCTGATGACATATGACACAGTATGATGCGATTGGTTCTATTTGATGACGACGGAAGTGACGTACATTCAAGATCATTTTATGCATTTTATGCAAAAGTAGGTTATGTTCCTCCTGGATCTGGAAGAATTACAAAATACACGAATTTGATTGGATGGTGTAATACGTATTAACCAATCAAATAAGTTCTTATGTTTTATATCGGTCCGTACCTATTTCTATTAATATCAGCGATTAAATTATTAAATTTATTAAAATTTATATTTGGTTATAAAATTATAAGAGATTGAAAATTGTAGAGATTGTAGAACATTAATTATTTGAATTCTGATTCGAATTTTCCTAGTAGAAAATGACGGAATTCAAATTTTACCGCCAAGAAACTTGTCCAGCTGTCCAGTTTCAAGCAATATTTAATTTTCAAGAACACCGCGAGATGTCGCTTTAAATAACTTTTAATGGAAGAGATTTTTATTTTGTTTAAAACCGGTATTTCATTACCGGAAATATGCAAACGTTAATAAAAGTTATTTAATTTATAAACAAATAAATACGCGTCGCAATGCAAATGTTTTCATTATCTCAAATGTAATATTAAATATACATAAAGTGACAAGTGGCGATATTTTGAAATGGCGGTTAGTATTCTTGTTTATTAATTTTCCATTGTTATGAATATCGGTTCGCAGTTAGAATAATTCTTTTCAAAATGAGTTGGTAATAAAAGTATAGCAATTTAAGCCTGTACCTTAAATAATGCAATTTGTTACAATTACCATTGTGAAAAGAATTCACTTGTATAACGTAACCAGTTACCAATAATTTGTTCAACATGTTTTTAGTAATGGGCTGAACTTGTGAGATGTAGCATGCCGCAGAATGGCCGGGATTCAAAATGTAAGTTTTTAATGATATTTAATTCATGATTTATCCCTGGATGCATTTGAAAGGTGTGGAAAAAATTATTCTTTTCAATGAACTTGAGTTTGGTTGGCACACTTCCTTAAAAGTTGATAATTTTTTGTTACTTGTGAAAACCACGAGGTTGATTGCATCAGTGGTAGCCATTTTGTTTTAATAACATGCTCCTATATTTATGTTTTTATTTACATAACACGCAGTTTTTTAAGGATAATATTTTATATTTTCGTTCATCTAAAGCCGGTAAAGATATTAACATCATTGTTGACACTTATTTATGAAAAATGTGTGTCATTGTTTAAATATTAAAAAAAGAAATATTCAGCCCATATTTTAAAAATTGCGACAGAATAAAATTTTTTAAATATTTTTTTTTAATTTATCAACTAAGGTTTATTTACATTTTTATATTCTTTTAGATAGAAAACATTTTTTTAAAATTTGAATGTAATGAACTTATGAAATCTTTTTTCTTTATTAATTCCAATTAAAACCAATTGTGCTTGAATAGTTTATATTCAAATAAATATTTATTTTGATTTATGTAACATAGTTAAAAATTTCATCCGCAATTTATCTATATATTTTTATCATTTTTCTAAGTCACGTTTAAAAATAGTTTTATAATTATGAATTATCAACATTTTTCAAATACTTTTTCTTACCAAAGTATATTATAGTTTGATAAGACATTCCAGAAATACATAACTTGAAAATATTTTCCAAGTATTAGGTATCTATAATTTTAAAAACTTTTTTTTGCGTAGAGACTTTTGGAAAATCTGCCTACAGATACCTTGGATTCCGCACTCCAAGGTTATGTGGGGTTGGTATGATAAAACAAAAGGAAATATAAAAAAAAAGAAAAATAAATATATAAAATAGTAAATTTAATAAACTGGCGACCTACTGCCAGCCCGGCCCACTAAAACCCGTAACCCTTCTTTATTATAACAAATAATTAAGTATATAATAGAAACCAAATATTTAATTAATAACCGAAAAATGTGGGGAGCATAAATGTATAACTTTTGTCATTATAGTATTCAGATACTGTCCTCCAATTAACGATAATTTACTATTACGTCGCCGATGAACGACTAATTCGATTCTTCCTGATACTGACTTTGCAATTTTTCATGAAATATTTTTCGAAAAACAAATTATAAATTTTCTTTTGTATAATTAAAATTTTTTCCAGAGGGTTTTGTTAAAAAATTATACGAGAAAATACCCCGTGGAATATAAATATTTTCCAAAATTTCTAACAATCATTTATTGTTGTATTTTTTCTTTTATTATCGAATGAGTCTAAAAGGATACTTTTATTTTTTATTTTCACTATTTTCACTATTAGTCAAACTATTTAAAAACTATTTATTAGTAAAATTTACTAATTTAAAACTAAAAAATTAGTCACTAATGCAAATTATTAAACATTTTTACTAATTTCAACTATTTATTAGTAAACTTTACTAATTTAAAACCAAAAAAATTATCTAATTCAAATTAGTAAACATTTTTACTAATTTAAATTTAGAGAGAACATTTTAAAGTTGTGTTTTTAATAAAAATTACAATTAGTAAAAATATGTACTAATTTGAATTAGTGACTGATTCTTTGGTTTTAATTTAGTAAATTTGATTAATAATAGAAATTACTATTTATTAATAAAATTTAATAATTAAAAACGTAAAAATTAGTCACCAATTCTTAGTAAATATTTTTACTAGTTCAAATTTGGAAAGTTGAAAATTAAATTCTCTACTCTTCCACTAAAACTAATTTAAAATTGAATTTATTTTTTTCTGCTTTTACTCATAAGAAACGATTTAGTTAACATAACCTAAAATTTAATATTTTACCAAATAATTTTTATTTGACAGAAAATTATAATTTTTATTCAAATTGTCTAAAATGTTGAAAATTAAATTCTTGCCCTTTCTACCAAATTAAAAATTTAATTTGTATCTTTCTGCGTTAAAATTAAAATACGAAATTAGGACATTAGACTAACTTTTATTGTTTTGACTGTCCGTCAGATTCTTTCTTAATTCGTAAAAACATTGTTAAAAAATATTTCTAATAACTCCAAACTCATGTTTATTTATTATTTCTCCAAAATCAGAAAATAATAACACACGTGTGAAAATTGCTTTCTAAACTAAAACTCGGAATTTACGGATATGTCGTAGTTTCTTTTTTTAAGAAAAAATCCTCTTATTTCTGTAGAACAGCTATCGAATAAATATAAAGGGATTTCACCTTCGACTGATGACAGTTTCTCTATTCAATAAAAAATAATATATATGCTTGCGTTGCATCATGTATGCGCTGTTGACTCTAATCATAAATTCGTTGATTTCTTAATTAATTATCAATTCGGCCATCTGAAATATATGTATGTTATTGATAAATAACAAAAATAGGTAAATAACTTATAATTAGGACAAAGCAGAGTGATAAAGTCAACATGAGTCGTGCAAGCTAACACGTAGCTATTTTGTGAACTGCTCCACGCATGCTCCTAATGCAGAAAAACCCTTTGCTGCCGAGCAGTGTTCATAAAATTCTGCAACGCGAAACCGGAGCTTCTCAGTTTTCATTAATTCTCGTTTTTTTGCAAGAGTCGACAAAAAATGTGCTTGAAGCATTTAAGATGTCATGTAAGCAAAGAATTCTCACTTTAAAAGGAACTTGTGTATGCAGACTTATTTTTATGTCAAGTTAAATATTGTTGGAAGTCGAAACGTTTCTTTATTTTTCGAATTTCGTAACTTCAATCTTTCAAGCTTATTTAAAATAAGGAAAATAATAATAATAATAATAATAATAATAATAATAATAATAATAATAATAATAATAATAATAATGATATTATTTTAATAAATATAAATTTTTCAAATCTTTTAATCTTAAAGTAAGAAAAGTAATAATAATAAAAACAATAGTAAATAATAATAATTATTATTTTTATTATTATTATTATTATAATTAAAATAATAGGAAGTAACGATTTACTTCTATTGCATTAGATAATATTCTACTTTAAATAGTTTAACAACAATAAGGTTATTTTTATCAATTTCAAAGACTTCCACCACTATAAAAATTAATTTTGTTTTTGCACGTTTAGATAATACTGTTTTTAGTTTTTAACCTGACATCAACATTATCTCGCTTTAGACATAAATCTAGCATGTTTTTGTTATCTGAATCACGTGAATAGAACTTATCAGATTAAAAAAATCACCTTTTAATTTTCAATTTGCAAATAGTCTCTTCGTAAATCATTTCCAAATAACCTCATCATGTATACAAATATTTCGAATTTAAAGCACGTTTTTTTTTAGTGATTTTATGTCAAATGATTATGGAATCATAATGAATTGTTCATAATGTACATATTATAGAAATGTTAATATTTAGAAAAAAAATCCATTGATAAATGTGTTCGTTTATTAAGGTTTGCTTTTATAATATTACTTCTATTTTAAGTATAAAGAACTTGTGATTCAAAGTGCTTCTAATTGAATAAAAAAGTTGATTAAAATTCGCGCAAATTGAAAGAAAAACAACTCTTAAAAAATATAGATACAAAAGGAGAAGTCACGAGTGCATATATATATATGTAAGTAAAGGCTTAAATGCGAACTGTAAATAAGTGTAGAGAGAAAAATCAAGGCAATCGAGGTTGCAAAGTGCAGTTAACTATACTTATTTTCAATGCAAAAAAAAAAAGATTGTTTTCCACTTTTGAAAAACGTAATATAAGCAGTGCATGTTAACTAGAGAAACATTGTGGAGGGTCAAATAATTGCAGAACCATGCCAATAGCATTTTCATTGCGAATTTATGAAATTTTCGTCCTTTTGAACATTGAACCCAAGCCAAAAGTCATTTTCTAGACGTGACGACTGTAAATAATTATTGTTTGGACAAAAGTTATTAATATTTAAAGATGAATAATACAAAATATCAAAAAATAATAATCATAGCACAGTTTTCTTGAAAATAGTAAATTGATACTAAAGTTAGATCATATTGATGACAAAAATTTAACAGTAAATTAATTTATAATTATCATCAATAATTTACCATTTAGAAATTACTGTTCTTTAA